ATAAAATAAGAAATGCTTGCTAGTACACGTGGCTATATTTAAGTTTATAAGCTATTTTAAGCTAATAATTAAGTTAAATATATTTAGGGTTATATTATTACAGGCTGGAAAAAAATAATAATATATATTATTAGTTAGTTTTATTAATTAAAAATCACGCCGTGTTATTATAAAAAAATAAAAGTAATAAATAACCTATTTAGTTTACTTGTTTTTTTATTAATAATAATTTATATTATAATAATAATATAATACATGGTTTATAACCTGCGTAAAATAAGCAAGTATATTTTTTTACTAAAACTAAGGTAGTTAAATAACCTTATAATTTATATTAATAATAATAATCCATACACAGGAAGGGTTTATAGCTATAATATACATGCTTTAATAAGCCTTAAATAATTACTATAACTTATTAAACTATTAAAGGTTATTAAAAATAAGGGTAAATTATATTTAATATATATTATAGTTATAAATTAAACCTTAACCTTATTATTTATAGCAAGATTAATTATTTATAATATTAAACTTAAGCTTAATAACTATATTAAAAAACACATAGTAATAGTAATAAAATCATGCTATAATAATATAAGGGTTATTTTATAAATTATATTATATAATTTATTTATAAATAGCCTTTATATTATTATACCACGCTTTATACTTAGGTAATTATTATATTAGGTTATTTTAGTATAAATTAACTATAAAAAATATTAAAAACAGGTAAGCCATACTTATTTAAAAAATAAGTAGTTAAAATAACACGCATGGTAATAAAAAACAGGCTATTTATTAATATTTTTAACCATGGCTTTTAAGCTATTTTTCTTACTATACTAAAATAGCCGCGTACCGCGAATAGTTTTAAAAAAACTAGTAATAAAACTTAATAGTATAAATAATTTAGCTATATTTAATTAAAAAGCTGCTTATAATTTTTTTATAAAAATATCTTACTGGCTAGGCGCGCGGTTATAAATATAAAAACTAGCTTGTTAATTTATTTATTAATAATAAGTTATATTAAAGTAAATATATTAAAACCGGGGATACCGTGCAAAATAGCCACTTTTATATTTAAGTAGGTATTTAATATAATTTATAAATAATACCTTGCGCGGGCATGTTATAACTAGCTTTACTTTATTATAAAAAAAAAGGGTAAAAAATACTAGTAATAATAATTATTATAAGTAGTTAAACTTAAATAACAGCATTATATAAAATAAAGAAAAAGTTAAATAAAGGTTATTATATACTAGCTTAATAATATTATTTACCATGGCCTATAAAGCCTTAAGCTTTATAATTATTATAAATAAATTAAGTATTATAATTATATTAGGCGCCTGTATATTATTAGGGTTTACTTATTAATTATTATTTAGGGTAATTAGCTTACTAGCTAGTTTCTAGTTTAAAATAAAATAATTAATTAGTTTATTTTCTGGCAACTATATAAGGTTATAGTTATTTTTAATTATATTTTAGTACCCTAAATAGTTTACCTAAAAATAATCTAGTTATTATTTAACTATCTAGCACTATACTTTAAAATTATAATAAAATTATAGGTATATTTTTTAGTTTATACTAAAATTAAATAGCTATAAAATTAATATTTTAAGTTTTTTAGGTAAAAGTAGGAGTTATTTATACACTTAATTAATATTTTATAAAAAGTTAATAATATAGCCTTTATATAAATATTAGTAATTTTAAATATAATAAACCTTAATAAATATATAAATTCTTATAATTAATATTTTTTTAATTTATATTAATTCTAGAAGGTAAAAAAAAATATTACCAGGATTTATTTTATTTTATAAACTAAATTTAAAAATTTTTTAATTTTAGTTAACTAACATGTAATGCTTGTAAATATTATCCTTTTTTTAAAGGTTTATATTAAATTATTATTTTTAATAATAACTACATGTTTTTAGCTAGTATATATTAAGCTAGTAATAAAAGTTATTTAATAGCTTTTAATTATAGTCTATAATAGCTAAATATATAAAATTAATAAGGGGAAATAAACATGGTAAGAAAGTATAATTTAAGCTTATATATATAAAAGGGCTAAAGTTAACTTTAATAATTTATAAAAATAAAAATAATTTATTTTTAATAATTAACTAAAAGCTTATAATAGTAAAGCTATTAATATTTAACTTAATATTATTTTTATTAATAATAATAGCTAGCTGCGGGCGCCTAGCCAGTAAGTAAGGTATAAATAATAGTAAAAATATAGCTATTACAGGCGTGGAAGGGGGTATAGGTATAATAAAAATTATAAGTAATAATAGGCGTGTTAAAAGTAAATAAAAAGGTTAAGGTTTATTAAAAATAATTATATAAATTACTTAACTAGCTACTTACTAAGTATACTATTATTTTATATTTTTATAATATTATTTTACTTATTATAAGTTATTAAATAAGTATATACTATAATATTAATAATCTAGCTTTAGTTATAATAGGCATAATTATTATATATTTAAATTAGTTTTATTAAAAGAAAGGTGTTAAATAAGTAAATTAAAAAAATTAATAATTATAGTAAAGTGCTTTTTACTTTTTTAAAGCTAAGTTAATAATAATAATAAATAAATAAAGCTATATAAACCTAAAGCACTTATTAATTTTTATATTTATTATAAATATTAATAGGCTTACGGCCCGTGGCACGCTAAAATTATATTATTAAAAATTAATAATTATAGCTAGTATAGTAAGTAATTAATATTATATTTAACTTTATAAATATAGGCTATATAATATTTAAATATAAAAAGTAAAATTAAAAATAATAAATAATAATATTATAAGAACTTTATAGCAAGAATAATTATATAATAATACTTTTTTTAAACTAATTATAGTAAACCTAACACCGCGATATTTAAGTAATAAAAAAAAGTTATATAATAATACTTTTTTTAAACTAATTATAATAACCCTAAGTAATTTTACTATTTTACATAATCCCTAATAAAGCTCACGTGACTAGGAGCCAGGACCTATAATTTATCGTGCGCGGGCCTCTACTTTGTTCCGGCCTCGCGCAATGATCGCCACCCAATCATCAAGACAACCAGAGGGAAAATCGGCTAGATCTGACTTCAAAGAGGACGACAGGCCGATAGATCGGTGGTAAGGTACAGGTATTTGTGGGAGAAGAAGCAGAAGAAGCAGGGGGAGTCTTTTGAGAGGCTGTTCTTGGCAATGCTGGCACTAACCCAAAGAGGATTTGGGTTGCTTGGGTGACACTATCCAAGATGGGTTCTAATATTGTATCTGCTTGGGATACTCTTGTTCAGGTCAGGAACATCATAATTAAGGATCGTAGGTTGGGTGTCACGGAACAGAGACAGCGCGACTTATCAGCAGCTTAACAGGGAGTAAGAAGTCTTCAGTGGTAAGGTATCTCTCGCCCAGCACATTGCCTTCGCAGCAGGCGTAGATGGGACTTTACCTGGGAGACCAGAGACCCTGTAGCTTCTTAATTGGAATTGGAAACCGCGTGATACGCAAGATTCTCATGCCAAAGAGGTCGCATCACGATTCACGTCTTATCTTCCAGAGTAAGGGATACTTCCACTGTGTTTGATTTTAGGACTGGTATCTGGATATAAAAGATAGAATTTCAGAGTTTATTCCCTAACTATTTATGTTTTGCTTATACTATGCACGTGAGAGGGATTGGACATTAGATTACCAGGTGTGGTATGTCTATGGGTGCATGGAATACCCAAGCACATATTTCAATGTATAGAATCCATGAAAATGTGTATTTCTTTAGCTAAGTACTATCTATGGATATTATTATGTGGAACTTTGCCTGCTAAGCCCCAAACACGGCTGCGATAATATTTTTAAGTTATTTAGTAATCTTTTTACATTAAAAAAGCCTAATAATTATATATATAGCTATAACTATAAAATTTAGTGCTAATCTAAAAGGACAGGGAGTGGGAAGTATAAAAGGAAAGGGTAGTAGGTATTATATTAGCAAAATTTCAAGAAAGGTAATACCGCACTATGCTAATTGGGAATATAAAAGGGTGGTTAAGTATTGTCAAAGCAGAGCAGGATTGTTGCTCCATAACTTTACTCCAAAAGCACGGGGTATTTATGAAGAGCTTGTCCTCCCTCATGTCCGTGCAGGAACAGAGAAATCAGGGCTTCTTTACCCTGAACCACTAGCACGGACTAAATCCAACATAGCAGCTGCCTGTCAAGTACCTAGCAACGAAAAAGCGGCAACAAGCTGTTAATGAATAGCTCATCCATTCTATACATGGTCAGTCCACATATTTCACGCCTTCCTGGTTGATTCAAACAAGATGAATTGCGGTCGTGTGAGACTACATCTGCTGGATGACTATGCTATAATGTAGAGGAGTGAAAGGCTGGAATTGTGGTTACAAGTGAGACATTAATATACAATCTACTCCAGCCAAGCCCTAATTCCGCGGGCCGAGATAGTTCGAGTCTGTATAGGTAGGAGAGGGGCACATGCTTGCATCTCCAAGCGCTTGCTAGTCTTGCCATTGGGTACTGAATAGGGGTTTGGAAGTCCCTGGACTGTCTCGATCGAGTCAGACCCCTGATGTCAGATCGGCAGGGCCAGGAATCCCCCCTCTTCTCCACACGCCACCTTCTCACAGGCTAGGGCTATATCCCTCCACAGCTGTAAACACTAGCCATTATTTTTAGTCTTTGAACGACCTTGCCAATGACTAGTCCAAGCTACCTAAGCATAACAATGGAATCTGCCCATCACATGTACTTTAAGGCTACCGAGCCAGGGCCTCACCCAGACATTGCTCCGCATCCCACCCTCAGCAGACGCGGAAACGAGCACCTGCAAACATGCAGGGCTATATCTTAGCAGCATCTCTGCCCCTCTCATGCACCCCGGATTCCTACCTCTAGCCAGGTGCCCTCGCTGCAGGTCCGCAGCCCTGGCCGCGATGCACATCCTCCAATACCTTGCCCTGGTGCCCATCGCGACCGCTGCTTTATCCTCACCCTCGGCATCGACTCTGATAGACATCGAAGCCCGCTCATCTACCCCTGCACCGGCATACAATAACGCATCTAGCTCCCTCCTCTACATAAACGTCGTGTCCCAGGAAGACGTACACCTACTCGTCGCGCGACAACTGGACCTGGACAACATCGTTGATAAAATAACGGGTCTCCTGCAGCCTCTCTTCCAGCTTATTAGTCCCGAGTCCCTGGGGAATGTGAATGCCATCGTCTCGCAGTTGGCCTCGCTGCTTGGTGATGGCGGTGCAGAGGATACAAAGAATCTCATCGATGTTATTGCGGATTTGCTAAATTCGAATGCTGTAAAGGCGCTTGTTGAGCAGCTTGGGCCGTTGATGCCGGTCTGTTTATCCCTTTGAAAGTAAAGAAGGTTGGGGCTTACTCTTGTCAGACGCTGCTGGACCTCCTTGACTCAAATATCATCTCCCAGCTCAAGATACTCCTCAACAATGCGGGTCTCCTGTTGACGGAGGAGTTCGCAAATAATGTTCGTGATTTGGTGAATAGCTTTGCCCCGGTATGTCTCCTCTCCTTACTCATATCGACTACCACTGAAGAGTATAGATCTTCGACTACCTGATGCAAATAATCTCGTACTTGATCGACCTGCTTTTCGGAGGCGGCAGCAGCGGTAAAGAAGGAAGCAGCACAACAATTAAGCCCTCGCCGACCGCAACACAAACAAGTGGTTCTGGTTCTGGTTCGGAGGCGACTGCAACTGATACCTCTCACTCCGGTCTCGACAACAATCTAGGGCTGGGCTCATCGAGTGACGACTTGGATACGGCTGGGTCAGGAAGCGTCTCGGGATCTAGCTCGGAGTCTAGCTCGGGCTCTTCATCGTCGGCATCTAGTGACGGCGACTCATCTTCGTCGGGAGGAAGTGGTTTCAGCCTTGGATCTTCCTCGTCCGAGTTCTTGGAGGGTAGCGACTCGGGCCTCAGCTCGGGCACCTCCTCTTCGGCGTCTTCCTCCGATGGCAGCGAGTCAGGCAGTGGCTCCGGAAGTTCCGGCGACTCCAACTCCGACTCTGATTCCGGACCTGGCTCGGATTGGGACTTGCACTTGGGATCTGGCTCTGGCTCTGGCTCTGGCTCTGGCTCCTTTTCGGATTCGGGGTCTGGAACTGCAACGAGCCCGGATGATTCGAGCTTCACCGGTGCAGCGAGCAGGTTAAGCCAGCTTGGCGTGACGGTGGCTTTCGGGGCCTTGGCTGCCCTATTCGTGCTTTGATACTTGTTCGTCCAGTCGGACGCTGATGTCGTGAATATAATCTCATAGTTCGCTTTCATATGCATATAAAGCTCTAAAAGCCAGATCGTAGCAACCATTTTATAGTAACATAACTCTACCCAACCAACTCCACGTGCATAAAAAGTAGTATTCTATCCAAAGACCGCCTCTAGCATAAACGGAACAAAATGGGTATTTCAAAACAAAGCAAACACGACAGAAACCCCCCAAGCATAACCAGCGCATAAAGAATCCCAGAGCCTATCTTGTGACATCAAAAAATGAACGAAAGGAAATCCTACACAACACTCCTATTTCTCGCAGCCTGCGGCAGTGTCCTTAACTCGGTCGACTCAACCGGCCCAATCCCACCTGCACTATCCAGACTCGGCCTCGTGTTCACACTTCTCGCCGGCTCAGGACGCACAAGTGAGCGGTCGCCCTCGGTCTCGTAGAATGTTGTCCGGATCGAGCGATGCTTAGAGACGCGGGAATGTTCGAGCGGGTACTCGCCGCTTTTCGCGTACACGGCGCGGTCGTTACCGGAGTCTGGAGTGAGGTAGGGGTTGTAGGATGGTTTGGTCTGTTTGCCGAGCACGATGATTGCGCGGAGACGGGGGACGGAAGCTGTGACGATCACGACTGTTGCTTCGGTTCTAAGTGGATGTGAGTAGGCTAGTTGCTTGCGGACGCGGAGACGTACAGGAACCAGATTGCGTAGATGGCCATGGCGTAGCTAAACCTGGGGCTGTTCATGGTTCGGAGTTGGACGGTCTTCAGGATGGATGCGATCATTGCACTGGTTTTGTTAGCATGCAGATAGAGCGCGTTGAGCTGTGACGAGAGCCCTACAGCAAACTCAGCGAAACAATCGAGCTGAGAATGATCTTATTTCGGCGGCTCATTTTGAGTGTCAGAATCACGGCGAGACCGATTCCGGTCAGGAATAGGTCTGTCAAGCCATTGAACGCTGTCGGCCACACATCAGTAAACAGAGCTATAGGTCGAATGATCGACTCATACCCCCCTGGAAATACCCCCAATTCTGCACCATCGTCGCGCCTTGACATTTCTCAATCAGTTTGAGCGGATCCCACAAAGCACTGACGGGGTTGCATTGCGTAAACTGCAACACGCACGGAATGACGTTGACAAATTGGCATGCAATAAGACCCCAGAGCACTTTTCGTCGCAAGTTATGGACCGTGATGACGCTCTTGAGTAGAAACAGTATAAACGAGATCCGACCGAGCATGGACGCTATGGTACCGCACGGCATGCTGATCATCGCGTATTTCAGCATCTCCGTCGCGTCTTGGACAGAGGATAGACTTGTTGGGTTCCAGCTGGAGCCGAGGCCGTGGTGCACGGAGGCTGTGACGAGCGACGAGGCGATCCCTTGAACTACCTAGCACACATCCTTTGTTAGCCTGAATATACACAGACAGCCTTTGGGGACTAACGTAGGCGCCGACCATGACGAGATCGTCCGCAGTGAACTTCCGCAAAATGAACACCTGGGAGTAGGCGCGCAGGACCATGACGACGGTGGTGATGCCATATTCCACCCAGATGGTCGCATACATTGCGCCGTGAGAGACCGCTTGAAGATCATTGATGCCACTCATGGCGCAACTCTGGGCTCTAGTCCTGGCGAGGATAAATCTCGGATTCGGTTCGTTGCAGTGCAGGGTAATGTGAAGTCGAAGTCGCAGAGTAATGGGTAGACACAGGTACTGTCCACGGTCTCTAAGCATCAGCTGCTCGAAGTCATACATGGGAAGAGCAAACATCAGAAATAAGATTGCAAATGAGGCGGGATATGCGTCTCCTTTAAAATTTGATGTTTGCACCCGGCATCATGCAGGCTAATGCCGCCTGGATTCCGACACCCCTCCAGTGTCGACTTCGTCAGCAAATCAATCAATCCAAAGGGATCAGCCCCCGCGCATTCCGGTAGTGGACCCTGCTGCTTGATCAATGATGAACGCCACTGTGGTCCATGCTTCTCAACCCGATAGATCGACTTGGGCGACGATCTCACGTGGAACTGAGGCTGCACGCGGGACGACAGGGGCGGGAGTTGCTGTTTCAGGACATAAGTACGATGCTTGAAGAAGGGACCTCGTCTTCAGACGTCGATATCTTAGAAGTGATTACGAAAAATCACAGTGGTCGAGTTGGGGCTGACGGACGCAGTCAGAACCCATACCGTCAGAGCTCAGAGGCGAAGCAATCAGCCCATGTTTTGCGCAGGTTACACACAGAGAATAGACCACACCTTATGCTCTGCTGTGTGTCACCGTGAGCGCACTGAAGAAGACCGTCCGAGGGAAAGCCGAGAACTTGGACCCATTTTGATGCATAGCAAAAGCAGCTCTTCTATGCCGCCGCTGATTCGCTGAAACGGCGCAGGTTTGATATCGAAGGATTCAATAGCTCCACTTGGCCGGAGATTGGAATCGCAAAGACAAATCATGAATAGCAGTTCGAACGCTTGCTTTTGAGGCTGGCTTCACCGTAAGTCTCGCAATGGAAGTGGAATTGGGGATGCGACTGCACCATCCCGAGCCCTAACTGCGTTCCCAACTGGGCCGGTTAATCCTCAGCGTCAGTGGCGATAATGCCTCGTGCGGAATCTAATCAGTCTACCTGTCAGGCTGTTAGTATTCAAAAACCCCACCAGAGCCACTTGGGGTCTGCACCATGCCTCAACAGGTACAGTTAATATACTCGAGAACATCATGCCATCATCCAGTGTCTCACACGTAATCGGGGCCACAAAAAGCAAATACAGGTCACAATCCGTGTAGCAGAGTACAAAGGTGCCTTGATTCCGACTGTCACTTCGGGTCCTTTCTGCATATCCAGGAATCAAAGCTCTAACGTCAACCGCGGTGAGGATGAACTGAAACAAGTACAGTGGACAGGTACAACCAGCACTATAATCCTATCGACGAGACCCTCAAAGCGTATCAACTGAAGCTCTCACTGCAATGCACTGCTATCGGATCCGCATATGTGAGGCTTTGCTTACCTCAATCAACCCGCTCCACCTGCACGCTCTGGATGTGACCTCCCCGCTCCATCTTCAACTCAACCTCTGTGCCGACTGCGACATCTACATTGATCGTTGTGTTGCGGGGAACATCCATCGAATCCTTGATGATTTTACATAGATTGGGAAGACCAGTGCAAGGATGTACCCCATCAAAGGGATCGCCCTCGCGATGTGCGCATTCCGGTTGTACTGATCGATGCATTAGCTTTTTCGACTTACTGGTGCACGAGCCAGGAAAAACGTACCACAACAGCACCAATCATGGGTGAAAAAAACAGTACCTCCCGAGATCGCAGTGGCAAGGAATGATCTCCGGTCTTGGTGTGTCAACCGAGGGCGCGCAGGGCGAGGATGAAGATTGTTGCGAAGCACCACCATCGTTTGTATGAGTTTAATAGTAAGAGGGAGAGCAGAAGACGTATGAAGTCAAAGCAGAAGACCAGAATGCAGAGTCCGACCGAAGTTACGCCATAAGTGTTCATTACTGCGATGAAGAATACAACGCAAAGGGCGAGGTATACAGTTAGCATGTACCGCGGTTCAACGGCCTTCATCATGAGGCCCCTGGCGAGGCAGTGGTTGAATGCGTACGGCCCTGCGCAACGGCTAGGAGGTTAGCTGCCCGTCACAATCAGTATAAAGTCTCGGACTTTGAAACCGGGGAACATACAAGCTTGTGCAGAGGAATAGCCCGCTTCGAGACAAAAATTGATAGGTACCCAGCTAGAGCAACCTGTCTGCCGACATAGCAAAACTAGTTCGACACTCCAAGGGAAAGGTTGTACTGCTTTCTCGGAGGGGCTGGCTCTTGTCCGCTCTCGGAGATCATGCTTTTGAGGGTTTGTTGATAAGCGTCGATGATCGTAGGAAGGGAGCGAGCCAAAAGAGGATGATCAACAAGCCGACGAAGCATGCCATCCCGAGGTACACCCATTGCACATTTTTGAGACCTTGGCCATCCGGAAATCGCCAAGGGACTGATAAAGTACGCGCCAAAGTAGGACGCCTGGAGCACGCTCGACTTACTTGCCGTGGTATCAGTCATCGTCGTCTGGAAGTACGAGTTGAGAACACCTAGCAAACTGAGCCTGGGCACTCCTTATACAGGACATTTACCTCAATGGGACCCCTCGCTCGGGATTATATCCTGCAACTAGCTTAGCTGGACAAGGGGATTGGCAAATAACGAATAGACGCCATGGAAGGGACTCGGGGCCATTTGTCCCGTGCTTGAACGAAGCGAAGCATTCGACTGCGCGACAGCTGATCCGGGGTTGGGGCACCACGCGATTCCCCTTGGGCCTAGTGGGCGGCAACCTCAGTTGCCCTGTTAAGCCAAAGCTCTGAATGTGCGGGGTCGGCACATCTTTCCAGCTTCCTTGCCCATTCGACGGTGGGCTGCTCCATTATCCATTTCCTCGCGGCCTCTAGTCCAATCTTCGCTTGCCGGAATGGGTCCAAGATACTTTCCGCCTTGATCCCTTCTCAATCCGTGAGTCCATCCGTCATAGATCGAGCTCTTCTGCTCGCAACACCAGAAACCTGGGTTTCTAGACCGAAAGAAGTCGGAAATCCCGATCATGCGCCAGCCGCTTGCCGTCGGAGGTAGTGCTGTTCGTGACCTCGGCACTACGGTCAATTCATCCCTTCAATTCCTGGAGTATTGTATACACTGTCCGTGGAACTGGCCTTTATGGATCCTTGCAGCTGTTCGGCAAAACCAGTCCAACCAGCCGAGCCTCTTCTAGGTAGTTTAGGTAGTGCAGTGCCATGGAGCCATGAGTTCGCAACCATCTCGAAGTGATTTTTTTCGGCGCGGTGAGTATGAAGGTATCGAGCTTGCAGCAGGTCGCAATCAACTCTCACAATCCAGGAGCGCTCTCGATCAGAGTAGGTACCCGACAGCATGCACAAATCTGGCCCGATAGGCTGATACCTGAGTCAAGTCCGGGCCGCAAAGTAGTCTAGCATCAAAGACAGCACAGCAAATTGAGTTGCGCTTTGTATAGATGAGTAAATGCTTCTCCAGGGTGACAAATGGCGTTGTATACGAGGGACGACAAGTTCGTCAGATCGTGAATAACGTCGCTCTCAAGCCCTACTATTAGTCTGTGAGACCAGTGCATGGTAAGCACCGAGCTGAGCATGAGATAGGGTGACTATGTCTACTGTAGTTAGTTCGGCGTGTTCTCTAACCAGTGATTGATTGGCTGGGGCCTAGATAAGAGCGCCCTGCGACATCGTCAGTTAGCTTACAAAAGAACCGGAATCCATTCCGCCCGACCTTAGTAAATTGAGAACTTACCAAGCAAGCGAACTCCCAACCAAGGCATCTTTAAAATATAGCCATTGGGAGCCGTAACCGGTGCTGTGAAGAGTGCGTCCAGATTAACATACCCCGAGCATGTCGCAAACCCAGGAAACCACGGTGCAAGAAACGATGCATCATGGCCACGAGATGGTATCTATCCCTCAGCAACCAAAACCGCTCAGTCGCGCCCAAGCCGTGACCGCGGTGATCGCCCTCTCAGGGGTCAGCTTTCTGAACACCACTGGCTCGGGCATTCTGACGGTCGCCCTCCCCGTCATGTCGACCTCCCTCTCCCTGCCCACCAACCTGCTCCTCTGGCCAGCAGCCGTCTACGCGCTCGCAGCCGGATGCACCTTGCTCACATTCGGGTCGCTCGCTGATGTGGTTGGAGACAGACGCATCTGGCTGACAGGAAGTACGCTCTTCGCAGTCTTCACGCTCGCATGCGGTCTCGCGCGAACAGGGACACAGCTAATTGTCTTCCGCACCCTGCTTGGAATTGCCGTGGCAATGTGTCTTCCATGTGCTGTGAGTCTGATGACGCGGACGTTTCCGCCGGGGAGATCGAGGAATCTAGGGTTCGCGGCTATGGGCGTCGGGCAGCCACTTGGCTACTCCATCGGTTTGATTCTGGGAGGAATTTTCGCGGACTCAATCGGGTGGCGATATGGATATTATATCAGCGCCATCATCAATGTTTTGCTATCGATTTTGGCCTTTTGGAGTCTTCCGGCTGAAGTGACCAAGACTGAGCCGCTGGTAAAAGGTTTGAAGCGGATTGATTGGGTTGGTGCGCTCATGATCGGTGTTTCTCTGGCGTTGCTTTCTTTCGTCCTGGCGTAAGTACTCCCGTTGGATGCAGGGAGGAGCCTTAGCTAATGGAATGACAGTCAGATCACCGAGAGCTACCACAATCTCGGGGAGACATACATTATTGTTCTCTTTGCGATATCGATCATCCTACTCCCGACCTTCGTGCTCTGGGTGGGCTGGCAGGAGAAACATGGTCGACCAGCGCTAATCCCCAACAGCCTCTGGAGGAACACAATCTTCAGCGCGACCTGCGTCATAGTGTTCTTCGCCTGGGCTGTTTTGAACGCGCTGCAGTACTTTACCTCGTTATAGTACGTCCTTCGATCATTCAGATAGCCCTATTTGGCTGACTCTCCCAGCTTCCAAGAGGTTCAGCACCACTCAGCATTCAGTTCGTCTCTCATGTTCCTGCCGATGGTAGTAGCAGGCGCCATCACGAATGTCTTCACGGGGTATACTGTCGACAAAGTTCAAGTCGGCGTCTTGGTGTTTTCATCCGCTCTCGTCAGCACTGCCTCGCCCATTCTCATGGCTTTGGTGAATCCATCATGGGGATACTGGCGCGGCCCGTTCGTGGCAATGCTCCTGAGTCCCGTTCATTCTGATGGTAAATGTCCTGATCAACTACGGTATTCACACCTGCTGACATCGGCGCCCCAGTCCTTTTCACGGTCTCCAACCTGATTATTTCCCGCGCCTATCCAGGTCAAAATCAAGCTCTTGCTGGCGCGGTCTTCAACTCGGTTTCTCAAGTTGGGAACTCGGTTGGTTTGGCCGTTAGTGCTGCTATTGCTGCTTCAGTCACAGAGCACTCTGAGAATGATACGTTGAAAGGCTTCCAAGCGGCGTATTGGCTCATGTTCGCCGCTATGGGTGTCGTCTGTGTCGTCAGTTACTTTGGCTTGCGCGATGGAGGGTACGTTGGGAAAAAGAATGAGTAGCGGTTGACTGTCTGTATCAATAGATTTCAAATTGAACTCTGTACTGCGGTAGGCACGGGTGCATTCGGCCAATGATGGTACTATGCACGTTTCACAACGGGAATATATCGATCCTCTCCATCCGTGCATCGAGGTCGTGGATGGAAAACGCATTTCCTCCTTGTGATAAAGTCTGACCATAATCAAGGCCGTGAAGGCTTGGTTGGAAGCGTGGGCGAACCAGAAAGCAATGCGAGTCGATGGTCACGTAACGGCGCAAGTGGATAGGACGGCCAGCTCTCTAGGCTCGGGACGGTCTTTATTAGCCCTATACGACATTGCCCTTTTCGGCCATCTACAGCGGTTGAAAGGGACCGTGAGCACTCGGCAACTAGCGTTGCGGCGATAGCGAAATCCCCCGCTCCAGCTCGGCTGCGCGTGGATCTCACTATGTCTTCTCCAAGACTCCGAACGGCTGCATGTGAGGTGCAGGGATCGTTCGCCTCTCTCATCTATAAGCCGGAAAAAATCTCATCTCGCTCGACTTCCATAATTAACCGTCTGAACCATGGCTCTCTCATACAACCTCCAAGATCTTGTCGCGACCGACATCGCTGCTGCGCTTCCGAAAGATGCCGTCGCGGAGGTCATCTCTCAGGCCCCGTTTGCCACGGTCCCCGGTATTTTCAACCTGCGCGACATTAGCGGTGGCGCATCTCCCTTCTCTGCCTTCCCCGCCGTCCTGCGATCGGGACTTGTCTATCGAAGCGGCGCACCGGCGTCGACGCTCACGGAGGAAGGTATCTCTGTGTTGAACACTCTTGGTATCAGAAAGATCTTCGACTTGCGCCGGGTCGACGAGCGCACCAAGAATCCCAGCCCGGTCATCAACGGTGTCCAGATTGTATGGATCCCTTACGCCGAGGTTGTGCCGGGGATGACAGCTGCTCGAGATGTTGAGGGGTCCATGGAGCAGGTCGTGGAAATGTACACGGGGTATCTGGAAACGCATGCGCCGGTTTACAAGGCCGTGTTTGAGCACATCCGAGACGAGCCTGAGACGCCATTTCTCTTCCACTGCTCAGGTGAGCCTTTCCTGGTCGGAATCGAAAATAGTTGCTAACGGGCCTGGGCGTATAGCTGGAAAAGACCGCACGGGCGTCCTTGCAGCGCTGATTCATCGACTCGCAGGAAGCTCAGACGAGGAGCTCCTCCACGATTTCACATTGACCCGCATCGGGCTGGAACCTGGCCGTCTTGCCCTCCTGAAGATGATGCAGAGTGTATATGGCAAATCAGTCTTGGACAACCCGGTGCTTCCAGTTGTTTGGGGTGTTCACGCTAGCGGCATGATGGCGTTTCTGGAGGCTCTCGACGAAGGGTATGGTGGAGTGGTGGGCTATCTGAGGAACACACTGGGGTTTTCGGACTGGGACATTGAGGCGATGAAAGCGAATCTCGTACTCAACCCAGAATCAGGCAGTCGCTTATGAGAGACGTCTCGAGGTGTTTGTAGAATGTCAAGAGGTTTCAAAGTTCAGGGGCGTTTGTGGACTTGCTAGTTATGCAGGCACATGCACGGTCGCTTTTGCTATTTTCGGTAGTGAGTAGTTATGCATTTTGTGCCCAGTGCTGTATATAGTGCACGTGACTGTGTCGGCACAACATCGGCCCGTCAATATTTTCTTGCTTCCAAGACGGCTTCTTATCGCAACAAATCTTGACGCCGGTTGTCGCGCAGTCTCATACCCCAGTCTCTAGCATTTTATTGCTGTGTATTCATCTTCTTGCCATCATGGGTATCGCAAAGAAAACAAAGAAGTTCGCGCAGGTCCGCCACCAAGCGACCCAACTCCGCCCAAACAGCCGCTGATACCTTAGCAGATGAAGCGCACGATCAAAGCCCGCGACGAGCGACTCAAGAAACCGGAACCGCCCCAGAAGAAGCCCGAAGAGATCACTCGCCATGTCCAAGCCGCTCCGACGAACATGTTCTTCGCCGCCAACACCGCTCTCGGTCCCCCTTACCGCGTCCTGGTCGATACCAACTTTGTCTCCCACGCCATTCGCGCGAAGCTCGATTTGCTGCCGGCGATGATGGATTTGTTCGTTATACCGTGGAATCGTTTTGTCGTTGGCGATATACTGATGAGATGGGTGTAGGTTGTACGCGAAGTGTATCCCGACGTTCACCGATTGCACCATTGCGGAGTTGGAAAAGCTGGGTGACAAGTACCGTCTTGCGCTGCGGGTTGCGAAGGATCCGAGATGGGAGAGGGTCAAGTGCTCGCACAAGGGAACATACGCCGATGACTGCCTTGTCGATCGGGTGGGTTTACGCCACGATCCTATGCCTGACCTTCGCTAACAATTGGCAATAGGTCTCCAAACACCGAATCTACCTCGTCGCAACGAACGATAAGGACCTTTGCCGTCGCCTCCGCAAGATTCCTGGTGTGCCAATCATGAAAGTCGCCAGAGGAAAGTTCACCATCGAGAAGCTGCCGGACGCGTTGGATTAGTGACACCACGATCTCGTTTCTCGACATCTACAGCACTTCCTGATGCTGTCTCCCACCCTGCATACATCGCAGTTCAGGTCCTGCGGTCATCGGATGTATACTTAGACCTCACAACGCATCTCGCCGATTCCGTCACAATGTCCGCGGCGCCGCGCAGCTCGGACGCGATGACCGGCCCGACAATGGCACGAAGCCTATCGAGAGCCGCCATCCTCGTATATCTAGATGTGGTGGCTGGGCGGTCAGCAAAACATACACGAGCGGAGGCTCACAAGGCTGTTCTAGCCTAAGGAATGGAAAATTATCCGTCTGCATCTCCAACTTCTCCACCATAGCACCACTAGTGTAGCCCGTCCCGTTTATAAGAGGCTTGTAAATCGTACGATTTCTAGTTACGGTTCATTCTACGCTGATAACTGATAAACCTGCTATCGACACCTTCAAATGAGTCACGGCCGAGCACCGGAGTTTATCAGCAACTTATCAGCCTCGTCTGCGGGGATCCTTTATCTCCCCCTCACCACCCGCGAAACCACTCTCCAAACCCTCAACTATAGACGACTATGGCGCAGAAAGAAACAATCATCGTGATCGGGTACGATTCCAAAGCAATTCATTCGATCAGGAACTAATCCCTTCAGCGCCGGCGTCATCGGCCTCTCCACAGCCCTCCACCTCCAACAATTCCTCTCCCCCTCACAGCAAATCCTCCTCGTCGCCCGCGACTGGCCCAACACCACATCCGTCAACTACGCGTCCCCATGGGCCGGCGCCCACTACCGACCCGTCCCCGGCTCCTCACCGCAAGCCATCCGCGAGGAGAAGCAAGCGCGCCGCACATACGAGCACTTCAGACACGAAGCGAGTGTGCCGGGCTCCGGTGTCGCGTGGGTCGAGGGTGTTGAGCACCTTGAGAATCCGCCGGCTGAGTACCTTGACGAGCGCGCTCTGGGCAACTACACGCATCTCGATGGGTTTCGGAAGCTGGAGGCTAGTGAGCTGCCTGAAGGAGTAAAGTGGGGGGTGCGGTATAATACGTTTACGATCAACTCGCCGGTGTATTGTGCGTATATGCTAAGGAGGTTTGTGATCAAGGGAGGTATGGTGAAGGAGTATACGCTTGCCAATGTGCAGGAGGCGTTTTATCTTGCGGAGAATGTTAGGACGGTGGTGAATTGCTCGGGCGTTGGGTTCGGGGATTCGAAGTCGTTTATTATTCGGGGTAAGTCAACCTTTATACTGGCTCGCAAAATCCACAGAGTATTGACCTGACCTCCAGGCCAAACCTGCCTTGTCCGCAACCCTTGCTCAGTAACGCTCACCCGCCAGAACTCCGATGGCACCTGGTCCTTCTGCATCCCGCGCCCTCTCGAAGGTGGTACGATCATTGGCGGAACGAAGCAGGTCAATAACTGGGACCCGAATCCGTCGCTGGAAACGCGAGAGACTCTGCTCCGCAATGCGAGCAAGTGGTTCCCCTTCTCGGCAGAGAGCGGCGGAAAGTTCGACGTTATTCGGGATATTGTTGGTAGGCGTCCCGCTCGCGAAGGGGGGATGCGCATTGAAGTTGAAAAGCTTGGCGAAGGGAGAACTGTTGTCCATGGGTATGGTGCTGCTGGAAGAGGGTACGAGATCTCTTGGGGGGTCGCCGAAGATCTGGTCAAGTTGATTAGAGCGGAGGGTTTGGTGCTGGAGAAGGCGTCGCTCTAGGTATGTAGGATGATTCCCCGTTTATTTATTTGCAATTGCCATTTTCCGAGATCTTATATAGTCGTCTTAGACGATTTTCGGCTGTTCTTGGGAAACTTAGATTTACACCTGGTCAATATATATTTTGTTCGACAGGGGTGAAGAGAAACATTACCTATGGTCCTGCTGACCGCATCCTTCAATGGTTCTATGGGCACGCTCACAAACATAAAATCCAAAACTTCTCCAGTAGAGAAACTCTATAAGGGCTATTTTGCCATTCACCAGGTGTTATGAAGGGGATTCTCTGAATGTCATGTGATACCTATGCGCCCAATCGCCGAAATAAATAGAAGCTCATGCCCCTTCTTCCGTTGGCAACATCTTCTTCCAAAGTTGCCAACCCAACTACCTGCTATCTACACAAAATATCAATCAGTTACTCTCCCAATCGATTCCTGGCATGGACTGGGACGAGCGCGCCCACGCTTCTCACTACGCCGAGTCCCTTTCGTGGGCCAGACGCTTTAACAGCACCAAGGGGCCTCCAATCGCGACCTGGGTTTCAACATTTCGCAACAATCAGCCTTCAGAAGTGGTCGGCGACAATTGCGGCTCGTTCAATTGGAGCTGCATGATTAGATTCGACGATGGGGTTCAATGGATGGTGCGGTTTGCAGTGCCTGGCCGGGTGATGGATGGCGATGAGAAAGTCAGCCATGAGGCTGCTACAATGCGCTTTGTCAAGGACAAGACAAACATCCCTGTGCCGTCTGTCATCGCGTGGGGACTCAGCGATGAGAATCCGCTTGGCCTTGGGGCGTTCATCATCATGGAGTTCATTGAAGGGGAACCTTTGGACATGATCTTGAGGCAAGGGACTGGCCCTGAAGAAGCTCATTCCCTCCGGTTAGACATCAGTAATAAGGAACTGGAAACTATATACCGCCAAATTGCGAATTTCCTGTTGGAGCTTTCTGCACATGATTTTCCGCGAATAGGTTCGCTCTCTGGAGATGCGGATTTTAGCAATGCCATCAATTCCAGGCCGTTGACGCTGAAGATGAATGAAATCGAGAGCCACGGGGGCGTTCGCGTTGGTGGTATGTTCCCCGTTCCTTTGATCGTTCCAGCTGACACTGCCCACGTACAGGCCCTCTTTCCGAGACCTTCTCTTCAGCCACCAGCTATTTCCATCATGTGGCCATCCAAGACATGCAGCATCTGCGCGACCAGCCTAATTCAGTGGATGATAGCGAAGATGCGCGTCGTAAATATCTCCAGAATGAGATATTCACGGCCATTGTACCCCGTTTTGTTGACAGCAAGTATGACTATGGCCCGTTCAAGCTGATTTGCGACGACTTCCGGTTTGGAAATATGCTGGTCAACAACGCACAGGAGCTGAAGATCGTCGCGGTGCTAGACTGGGAATGGGCTTATGCAGCACCGTTCCAGATGCTGTACTCACCTCCGCGGTGGCTACTCCTGAAGAAACCGTTTGATTGGGAAGATGCGGATGTTTCCAGGTACAACTCGCTTCTTGAGATTTTTATGAAAGTGTTGGAGGAGGAGCAGCAGAAAAGAGTCGAAGGTCGCCCGATGCCTGATATGGCGGCCCTCATGCGCGAGTCCATGGAGGACGGGAAATTCTGGTTTCATGAGTTGATATACTCCTGCTTCGAAGCGCCCGACAGCCCGGCTTGGAATGCTATTCGACAGCTTCTACCTTCGATCGATGAACTCGCGACAGTTGCCGACCATGACGTTGAACTGTTTGTCAGCAGCAAGATGGAGCAGCTCAACCAGTATAATGAGGAATGGGCGGCAATGAAAGAGGAGCTTGATAAAAAGGAAGCGGATTTCCAAGCGCTAAAGGCGAGAGTAGAGGAGGATGCAGTTTAGGAAGTCGACCAGCCCTTCTACTGTAAGCATCAACGAAATTTCTTCCTAATCTAACTCCATAGTAACTCTTCTACACAGGGAACTCGTCCTCTGAGGCTTCGCTTATAGAAAGTTATCTGCTGCGTCACGCCTTGTCTTTTTCGCAATAACCACCTCGCTGTCCCTGGCAGTCTTGACGGTCTGCTCTTGCTCCCTGCCTGAGCCATCAAGGTGTCTGCAACCAGCAGTGCAATCAGTATGTCCCGATTCCTTCTTGTCTCGATCCTGTTTTCATGCCAACACAACCAGGCGCTTTGGAAACTGCGGACATGCGTGCCGAGAAAAATGCCATTCCTCCACGACTAACAACCCTTTCACTAACTGAAGCCATCTCGTGGCGAAACCAAAAGTGCATCCCCATCTATCCCTCCAGCCTCTAGGCCTCATCCCGGTATACCGAGTAGAATTCTACCATGGTATCTACAACAACCTCATCCGCACCGCAACAAAACAAGCCCCAAGAACAACCGCCGCAAAAACGCCCACAATCCCAAAGAACCACACCAGCGACGCGACATCCTGCCCGGGCACCGTGACATTCATCCCAAACAGCCCCGTGATCATCTGCAGCGGCACGAAGATCGTCGCCAGCACCGTCACCTTGCTCAACCCGTCGTTCAGCCGCACGCTCAGCCGCATGTTATTCACCCCCGTTTGCGCGAGGAAGTTGCTCTGCAGCCGGCTTGTGATCTCGTCGAGGTGCGAGAGTTCGGCCAGGATTGTGACGAGGTGGTCTTGGACGTCGCTGAGGTAGACGAGTAGATCGCCTTCTGGAAAGCTATGCTGCATCATATTTGTCCTGCTGTGGAACCGCTTTACGAATCCATTCAGCACGTCGGATTTTCCCGAGAGTGAGTGCGTCAGGTGGTTTATTCGCTTGCGGATGGTGTAGATCCGCTGCATTAGCGGACCCATGTCGGCGTCTCGCGCTGTGAAGATGCTGTCTTGGATGCTTTCGGATTGCCGCGATGTTGTTTCCATGTACGGCGCGAAGCTGTCGATTACTTCGTCGCTGAGACTGTTAGGGTAAGGCCCAAGGGAGTGAGGGGAGGGCTGGGACTGGACTCACAACAAGGCGTAGCAGATCCAGTCGCTGGATAGGATGGACCTGTCGTGGACTCGAGAGATCCGGCTTCGGACTCGGGATGCGTGGTCGCAGCCGCTAGGGGAGAACGTTACCGTGCCGCTGGTGAAGACGAGGATGTATAGCATTGTGGGATGGGACGGAGTCGGTGGGAGCTGGTCTGGCTCTTTTGGCTCTGCATCGTCTTCACTGTCGAACGTTGACGCCAGCGTCCGGAGCGAGATGAGATAATACCCCGGAAACGTCTCGATCTTCTGGCGCGGTTCCTGGAAGACGATGTCCTCGATTGTGAGCGGGTGGATGCAGAGGCTGCGGGCGATGGCAGTTACGTCTGATGCTGTGGCGGAGGAGACGTCCAGCCACCAGAGGCCTTCTGGGGCTTTGCCTTTTGTGATGTCGAAGTATGGGGCTAGGTCTTCCCAGCTTGAGGCCGTTTTGGCCTCCTGGGTCGGGCAGGGGAAGTAGGTGAACTGGGTGTTGTTTTGGAGGATCATGGTGGTGCGTTATGATGCAGTGGAAGTTCAACCAGGGAAACCCTTGTACTTATAGATTCCTCCCATCCGGTAAGTGGAAGTGCAAGTGATGGAGGTTCTCAAGGTTTTCGTCGGCAAGAAGGTAGGGTAGGGCTGCGGACGTCAATGCCGCCCGTGACCAACAACCATCCTATAACCCTCGACCTCGGAGATAATCAATATCCTGCTGAAAACGGCTACTCGGGACCTTGTAGGGCTGAGAATGTGGAGGAACCCACTTAATTCTCTCAACAATGCTCATCGAGACCCACTGCCTTGCCCTATCCCAGGCAGCACAATTCAGCCAACGCCGCCGACGATGAGCCGGATCGACTTGCGCAAGCTGGCCACATCATAGTTGCCTGTTTCTCTTAATATTCCGCCTTATTCAGGATGGTATGCACTTGTTGTGAACTCTTTATTGCTTGCCCTGCACGGAGTCTACAGAACTAGGAGATACCAACATGGCCAACATCGCAACGTAAGCCCAAATCCCACTTCACGCCATTGATCCAGCCCATCATATGGTACCTGCTAACGCTAACCTATAGCCGACTTACGCGGACGATCTTCAGAGCGCTCTGGCTCTGGCTTCTTCGGCCGATCGGGCTATTCATAGTAACCGGCGGGGTGATTACTCTGTTCCGGTACCTGCTCGCGGCTTGGGGGGTTGAGGTGGGCGAGTATGAGTTGTTATAGTGGTAGGTCTTTTTAGCTCAGAGTATCTGTTTGAGTCTGACGATATATAGAAGAGATTTCGGTATTGAAGCGTTCTAGCGGGGAGTTTGAAGCTTGTAGAGTGGGACGGTATTATATGGTTGATGTATACTGTCTGTTCACCTGCCAGCAGGTGCTATATACATACACTATCAATGTTAAACATGCATACCACCCTTCCGGACAACCTCTCCAATCAGCTCAAGTAGATATCGCTCCCGATGTTCCAACAAAGCCATCGCCTCCTTACGCAGGAACCCTTGAGTCTCCTGCTTCATCTTCGCGTCCTCGTCTAATAGATGCTTCAAGTCTTCCAAACTGACAGTAACCACCTCGGTCGCAGCAAACAGGTGATGGACTGGCCATCTCCGGGCCAGTCTTATGCAAAACGCTTCCAGCATCTGATTCTCGCTGATGAACGCGAGTTTCGTCTCGAATGGACAATCGTCACCGAGGCCTTGGAGCTCACTCCGTGCCTCTTTGACAGCTGCCAACAAGTCCAGAATATCGACTGCGCTCTCGTCCTCGACACCCGTCTTCTCTTTCGTCTGCACTTCATTAAGAGGAGCGAGGAGAATCGGCCGATCATAACCCAGCTTCCACTTCCAGAAGAGATTGCTCGCGATCATGACGATGACGCACGGGATCAGCACGACGTACCCCCACCACATTCTCGCGGTGACCATGGACGCCATCCCAGACACCAGCCCGTTGACCCCGTTGACGCCCGCATGCCACTGGAAGCGTCGGACTCGATGGCGTAGTTTCGTTTGAACACTCCCCACGTTCGAGTCACGCTCACACGCAGCGTAGCGGAGTTGGAAGCGGTAGACTAGGTACGCTGACCAGAAGGCGTTGAACACGCCGAACAACGCCGCGCATCCGTTGCCGATGAATCCCGAGAGGAGGTTACTGGCCAGGAAGACACGGTGGTTCGCCCCGAAGATCGCCATGATCGTGCCCGTTCCCACGAGCAGCGCACCGAATCCGAGAAACAGGTCCATGAGCATGCGGTCAATGACCTCAGTCCCGAGCTCGCGGGCGTTGACTCCTAGAATCGCTGCTGTCTTGTCGTTGCGATAGGGCATCGCTTGAAGGGCTTTGCGTTCGGCGTATAGAAGCGAGACGTTCCGCCAGCTTAGATAGAAATCTCGAGCAGCGACGAGGGACACAAGGAGGGCGATGGGACCGCCTATGGCCATGAGTATCATCGCATGGCGAGGGACGGGGATCTCGTTCCAGACGTTCGCTGCGAAGTCGCCGGCGTTGGCGAGCTCGAGGTATCCCACGCCCGCGAGGAGGTTGTTTCTGAGCGCATGGCCGACCGGCCGGTATCTGCCCCGTCGTGCTCGCTGCAGAGTCACTGTTGTTGTTGCGGGCATGGTGGTTGAGGAATGCAGGTGGGTGGCCGCGGTTGCCGTTGCTGCCCCCATACCGTGGTCGGGCTTGATAGTGACAACAAAAAGAAGAAGGAGCGGACACGGATGAACTCGATCACTTGGCGTTGCCCTGTAGGGCTGAGCCGGTTACCCGATCAGTTCCATGAGGGCAATGATTGACGCTGACGGGGCTCGCAGTGGGCCTCTGGCTAGGCATCACCATTCCACGCCTGCAGAATTCGGCAATGCCCAGCGCTTCATTGGCTATGGCAACTCTGACCAACTCTTTACTTGGAAACAAGATTTGACAAAGACTCCACGCGCATCGACCCCTTGCCTCCGCAACGCGTGGCTACGCTACGTTGTCTTTACGGTAGTGGGACATATCACGCTTCATTACTGTCTGACTCGACAACACGCAGATATTGAACAAGAAGTTCAACAATAATTCAAAAAAAGGAAGTCACTGCCATCTCTCAGCAGCCGACATTCCCCCATCCACCACAATACTCGACCCAGTGATGAACGAGGCGCCGGGGCTGCACAAGAAAGCAACGGCATTGGCGATATCCGACGCAACTGCGAGTCTGCGCGTGGGGGTCTTCGCAACCGACGAAGCCATACTCTCACCGTTCTTCTGCATCACCCGCAGGAATGCCACACCAGGGATCACGACATTGACCCTGGCCCCCTTGGCGCCGTACGCCTCTGCAGCACCTTGGACCCGGAGAATCATCGCTCGCTGAGACACGGCGTATGGGCAGCCTCGCGTATCCTCAGTGCCTTCGAGGGGCTCAGCTAGCTTGGGATGGTGGAGGAGCATGTGCGAAGGACATATAGCGAGGTGTGTTTCGAAATCGGGCGAGAACGGCTCTTCCTTGCGGTGCAGTTGGCATGCGATGTTGGCAACCACGACGAAGGACATGCCCTGCGAGGTATAGGGTGAAAAAGCGTCGAGGACACAGGCCGGGCCGGCGATGTTGGCTTTGTAGATGTCCTGGTGGTCCGCATCGGCGGCAAATGGCCCTGCAGTGTCTGACTGGCTCGCGGCGTAAACGACGGTTGTGATAGCTCCGAGCAGCGAGGCTCCCCAGACCATGTTTTGAACAGACGCGGGGACAGCGAGATCGGTGCGTAGGGCGTACGACTCGTGGCCTTGGATTGTGAGGGTTTGAACCGCAGCATCGAGCGAATCTTGAGATTCATCGGCCAGGAGGAGTCTGGAGCCATTTCCTAAACGGCGGGCTATGGCGAGCCCTATGGGACCGACTCCGATCACCACGACCACGGTTCTGGCTGCGAGGGATTCGAGCTCTGTGGGTTTGGTTGACATGGTGGTTGATCTTGGTTGGGGATGAATAGCCCAAGATGACGGAAGGAGATGATGTAGAGTCCATTGGTTGGTTGTTACAGTATACAGAATCCTTTATATTAGGTAAGGTCATGTTCAGGAGCGATGACTCTGGTGTAGGTGACCATTAGAGTGAATGCAATGCATCTCGAAGTTCTGAACCCGATACCGAGGCAGCCTGCCATAGTAGTCAGTAAAGGCCTCCACACATTCACTGTGGCAGTGCAGTGACTCACCCAGGCCATCCATATTTAACCAGTTCACTTCCAGCCAGGATCAAATCAATTCACCACCTCAACATCAACAAGATGCACCAAATCTTTCTCCTCCCCGAGCTCCTCGGTCCAATCCTCTCTTACCTCCCGCAGCGCGACCTCCTCCTCGCCCAGCGTGTAAACCGAACATGGAACACCCTCATCACGCACAACAAGACCCTCCAGCAGAAGCTCTTTTTCGAACCAACCCGCTCCCATTTTCAATCCACTAAAGAGTTCCCTGTCACATTCAACCCCCTCCTGCAAGAGCTATTCCCGGCATTCTACCCCGACGACGAAAATCGGAAATTGCAGGACGAGGACGAGGACGAGGACGAGGACGAGGACCCGTGCATCGGGACAAGCTGCCCGCTCTCCCAAAATGCGCCCGCCGTCCTGCGCGAGCAGGCGTGGTTCGTGGACGAGCGCACAAGACAAGCCGTCCTGCGTCCGGAGGCCTCGTGGCGCCGCATGTTCCCGTCGGATCCGCCGCCCAGACTGGGGTGTATAGAGATGTGGCTTGGTGGGTGCTGCTGCGGGGGGAACGTCATTTCTGCATCCCTTTCAACTCCGTTTGACGGGACGAATCGAGAACAGGGGATTAGGATGGGCATGCTCTGGGATGCGGTCTTCTTTGTTGTCGATGATAATCCGAGTGGTGGGTTCTCTGTTCGCTGGTGGCGCGACCCGCAGGTCCAGGACGAGGACGAGAAAAGCCCGACACCACGAGAGGGATCACGGACTTCGCCGGATAGCAAGTATGTTCTCGAGTTGACGGTCGAGGCGGAGTGTTCGTGGCCATGTTATAACTGTGACGCCCAGTATAGCCCGTCTGGACTGAAGATCGTTGATGGCGAGGATCTGGTGGTGTATCGGGAGGATGATGCGCAGCTGTTGGAGCTGGAAGCGACCCCGTTGAGTGTAAGGAGGAGGAATCCCGGTGTGGACAGACCGTACGATCGATAGGGTTGCCTGGTGACGGTCTCTTCATCGGAGCAGCTGGACTGCATCAACTCGCAGCGCGATTCAAGGGCTGAGGGACATTGTTTACCGGAATCCAGCAATGCCCGGACTTCCAATACGCTGGTAAAAGATCCATTCTCCCTCCGAGGGCAAACATGACTCAATGCACTCTTGCAGCTCTAGAGATCATTGGTTCTCCATGAACCGACAAGTCATTGACCGCGTCTTTTGACTGTTACTGGATCTGGGCAGTCTCGGCTTGCTGGGCATCACGCATCACCAGCGTCCAGCCGAGCCTCGTCAGAGTTTGCACTGCCCTGGCTAAGACCTGCACCTCAGATAAACAAACTCGAGTACAATTGATTTCTATAGATAGTACAGATACAGATGCAGTACCCAATGAACTCCACACTTCCATATCCTCCATCCCGCATGCCAAAGCTCGTCCACCCAGACCGCTGCCAGCTAGACAGCACTACTCCCCTCCCCCGCACAATAAGGACTCTTCGCCCTCATCCACTCGCCCCAAACCCAAAGGAGAACAGGCGCCACAAGCCCCATGCCCAAACTCACAAAGCCCAGAAGACTATTCCCCCAGCCCAACCCCAGCGCGCGATACAGACTATCCGCGAAAAGGGGGAAGCTGAACCCGGCCATCGTGCGCACGAACGCTGTAACGCCTGTTGCGCTTGCGGCGTACCGTGTGTATGCGTCGATCACGTAGGTCTGGCAGCATTGGAAGCAGATTATTAGGCCGATTGCGAACAGGCACGCCCCGATGTTTGGGAATATCCAGTGCGTTTTGTATTCTGCTGTCCAGCCGTAGATGAAGAGGCCGATTGGGACGAGGAGACCGCCTGGGATCATGAGGGGGATGCGGTATTCGGGGCGTCCGGTGTCGCCGTAGTATTTTGACAGTCTTTCGTAGACCTAAGATGGTTAGTGTTGATGAGACGGGGGTCAGGCGACTTACGATGTCAATTAGGCGACCGCAGAATTGGAGCCCGATCACGAACCCGACGCCGAGCGAGATGTAGTTCAGACTAGCTGTTCCTTTTGGTTGGTCGTATCTTCCTTCCCAGACCGTGGGGAAGGATGCGAGACTGAGATGTTAGCATGGACTTGCGATCGTGATGGGAGATAACATACACGAGATACATCAGCCCATACTGATACCCCCGATACAAGGCGATTGCCTGGATAGCGGGCTGGGTGAACAGCATCCGAAACGGCCGAACGAGGTTCTTCCTCAAAAGCTGGGGAAATGTGCGATCGGGTTCGTCGTACTCTGTGTACAGCAGGTCATTCCCTGTCTCCCGCTGCAGCCGCTTCTTCTTCATCGCCAGGATCTTGGGCGCGTATGTCTCGCGCAGGAACAGGAAGGCCAGGATTTGGACCAGTGCGTCGGCCATGGAGACAATCCAGAAGATCCAGCGCCAGGACATGTATTGCGTTAGGTAGCCGCCGGCTGCATGCTAGTTAGCGGGCGTCTTGTATGGGAATGAAGGCTTCATACCGATCGGCCCAATGGCTGGGCCTAGGAATGGCATCACGCCGTACACGGCGCTGGCTGTCCCTCGCTCGTTCTTTCGCCAGCAGTCGCTGAGAACACCTCCGCCGATCTGTCGATGGTCAGCTCTGACTTGGTTTCCCGTTCAACATAGGGTACGTACCGCCTGGGGTGCGCTCCCACCGAGACCGCTCAAAAAGCGAAAGGCAAGCATCTGCTCTCGCGATGTCGCAAATCCGCACACAGTGTTGAAAAGGAGATACACCATGTTCGCCGACTGAAGTACCACAACTCTGCCATACATTTCCGACAAGGGCGCGAGGATGAAGGGGCCCAAAGCATAGGCAAGAAGGAAGATCGACATGACGAGATACCGCTCAATGTCGGAATTGATGTTGAAATCATCGGCAATCTCGTTCAGCGCTGGAGCGACCATTGTCGACGAGACGGGTGAGATGAAGGTGAAGCACGAGACCAGTAAAGTGGCAGACCATTTCCGGGCATGGCTCCAATTCAATGGGTTCAAAGGGTCGTTTGGGGAAGACCAGGTGACCTACAAGACGCGTGAGTATAGAGTTGGTCGAGATTAGATTTGGAGAGAATTACCAGTTTCGGCTCATGGTCATTGGTAAGGGGGATCAAGAAGGTGTCCTCGCTACCGGCAACAGAGCGCTGCTCGGTCTCTTGAAGCGAGTGGACGTCTTCGCGACTCGGGGTTAGAAACAAGTATGTCATTGTAGCGAGTGTTGTTGAACGAATGACGCTGTGTAGATAGCGAGTGAAGTATAATACACGATGGTTGCGATGTTGTTGCGGTTCTTATACTCCTCGCACGATGTTTGCTTGCTCTTCAGGGCGCACCCGTCTGGCCGCAGCCATCATTGACTCGGTGTTCCAGCTACTTGGCTGCGGCGCAGGGACAGCCTCATGCCCTGAGTTGTGAAGAGTGGCTTGCCAAGTTACAAGGCAGCAATGTATCGAACCCTTGATGAGAGACACCGGTATGCAGAGATATCTAAGCCACAAGCGGAAATTGAGCTCGTGAAGTATCGATCGATCCTAAATATACCTTGCAATATGAGTGGTCATGCCATGGCCAGCTGTCGCCCGACGTCACATACCCCAGGACCCTTAATATCGCCAGAGATCTGGGTTGCTGCAGCCAAGAAGGCCGGGCTATAGGCAGCCAGATATCAATTTTTAGAACTCCATATCGTCGCTTCACCGCAGAGACTGCAGATGGCATGTTCACCCTGGTAGGAGATGTTTTTTCTGGGAGGATGAGGCGGAGCAGGCTCAAAGTACCATGGCATCAGGCCAGAGCAGGAAAATGCAGAGGGTAAGCGATCGAGTCCATTACCAAGTCAGTGGCTGGTTGAGGAGCAAGGTCGAGGCAATGGGCACTTGGATGGAGCAAAAGGTCCTCGATAGGCTTTCAAAGACTCTTTCCTTGGGTGGCTTGAAAAGTCTATAAGAAGGCCATCAAGTCACTCGCTGAATCATATCTGCATCAACATCAACTCCTGAACACTCGCTCAATACATCCCTTCGTTTTTAGTCTCAACCACTTCATTCGTTCTCAGCATCAACTTTCCATCATGAAGGTCCTCGTCTGTCCGTCCGGTTTCAAGGGAAGCGTGAGCCCTGAAACTGCCGCAGACTGTATCGAATCAGGCATTGTGCAAGCCATGCCTGAGGCTTCGGTCCGCAAAGTCCCTCTTGCCGACGGTGGAGAGGGTTTCGCCCACGCCTTGGTCGCTGCCACGGGTGGGACAATCCATAACCACGCCGCTATCAGCCCTGTTGGAGAGCCAATTCACTCGTTCTATGGCATCCTCGGGAACACCGCGGTGAAAACAGCCGTCGTCGAAATGGCGGCCGTGGCTGGTCTGAGCTTGATCCCGCCCAACCGTCGCAATCCGTGCGTGACTACCACCTTCGGGGTCGGCCAGTTGATCGCCGCCGCAATTGACGACGGGGCCAAGCGCATCATCATCGGATGCGGCGACTCCGGGACCAGCGACGGCGGTGCCGGTATGCTCCAAGCGCTCGGTGCCCGGTTTATTGGTCGCGATGGCCAAGTCCTTCCTGACGCAGCAGGCGGGCAGTCTCTCGTTTCACTTGCTGGAGTTGACTTTTCCAAAATGCACCCAGGTTTGAAGGATGTTGAGATCGAGGCAGTTTGTAATTGGAAGAATGTCCTCTGCGGTCCTCTCGGGGTGGCACGAGTGTATGGTCCGCAGAAAGGGGCGACTCCGGAGCAGACCGACCTTCTTTCAATGGCGCTCGATAATTATGCGGTGGTCATCCATCGCACTCTGGGGGTGGATATCTCGGATGCACCGGGGAGCGGAGCGTCTGGCGGACTAGGGGCGGGACTGCTCCTCATTGGCGCGAAGCTGCGTCCGCGGTATGAGGCGTTGATGGAGTACTTTCATCTGGAGGACATTTTCAACGACTGCGATCTGATCATCACGGCCGAGGGAGCGATCGACGATCAGACGCCAAGGGGCAAGATCCCCGCCGAGGTGGCCCTCCGCGCCAAGAAGCGTGGGATCCCCGTCATCGTCCTCGCAGGGACGATTGGGCAGAACGCGCGGGTCAACCATGATGTCGGGATTGATGCTTTTGCGTCGATCCTGCAGCGACCGTGCACGCTGGAAGAGGCGGTGGGCGAGACAGAGCGGCTGCTGACCGAGGCGGCCGAGAGTGCGATGCGCATGGTGGCCATTGGAATAGAATGGATTAGATGGTAGTGTCGTTGAGCAACGAGTTTATATTGATCTGAAGACCTTGTTCACTTCCGGAGTGGATTGTAGATCCGTCCAGTCGTATACTGTAGAGAAAGCGAAGACAGTACTGGCCAATTACATAAGCATGTGAGGGGCAGCCTGGTCACGTGTCCAGGTGTAAGCAAGGGGCCTCGTCACGTGCCCAGACGCGTCTGGCTTCACAACAATTGCTCCCTCACCCTCATCCTCTCACCCTCACCAACAACATCCCCTGCTGTCCAAGTATTCGACACTCCTCTCCTACTAACTCACGAGAATCATTATCTATAGTGTCCGAGGGACGGTCTGACAGCGTCAGCAGTTTCAGAGCCACCACGATGGAGCTTACTCCTAGTCCCCCCCACCTGCTCCGCCTCCCCGACGAGCTGCTCCACCAGATCTTCGGATATGCAGCCGGCGCTCTCAAGGACACTTTCGCTTGCCGAGGATGGTACACCGCGCGCGAAAAGGTTTTCGCTGATTGGTGCTTGCTGTGCCGACGTCTCTATCCCATCGCCAGAGCCTTTCTCTACGCCAACGTCGACGTTAACTGCGTGTTTTCTCCGTCCAGACATGAATGGTTGCTAGGCCAGCACCAGAGTTTCCAACGTTATGCCACTCTTCGCCCCTTGGTTCGGAACCTGACTGTCCACTACGAAGGTCCCTCCATCAACACCCTCCCTTATGTTGCGACGGATCTCATCGCGTGGTGTACCCATGTCAGGTCGTTCAGCCTGTCTGGGCTGGGTTCTGATGACCAGGCGTGGATGATGCTCCGGCAGGGTTTGTTCAACTTCCAGACCTTGATGGAGCTGTCGCTCGCTGATCCAAGGAAATTCAATCTCGACCTCGAGTTGCTGCTGGGGACACTTGATGAGTTGGCATGCCCGCAGTTGACAACATTAAGTCTGAACGGTATTGGCAACCGTCGTCTGAGGGACCGGCCTAACTCACCGGTAACTTGTCTCTCTCAACCGATTCATCACCTCTTCATCTGCTAAATCAGCTATAGGGAGAACCGCTGACTGCGGCGCTTACCACTCTGAAGCTGCGAAACTTTCTGGCGACCCCCGCCGACCTGGAAGCGCTCGTGAGACGGCCTACTCGGTTACAGAACTTCGAGTTGCAGTATACGTTTCCGGAGGCCTCCAGCTACGACCAAAAGGGTGCATCCACGGATTGGAGCTTGGCCACACTGCAACCAATCCTATCCATTCATAAGGCATCCCTGCGGTCCATCAAACTTAACCATATCAACCGTGGAGGTCTGGCTGGGTTTGATATGCGCGATTTCGAGCGGCTAGAAATGCTAAGCCTGTCAACTGCCACCGTATGCTCTGCAAGCAGACTGTACGACTACGACGAGCATGTCCTCGATGTGCTTTTCGCCCCAAACCTTCGAGCTTTAGAACTCGACTTCGCGCGTGAGTACAAGAGCCATACTTCCTTGGATTCGTATTCGCGGCGCGAGGGTCTGGAAGACTTTGACGAGGCCGAAGAAAGGTGGTTACATACACTTGCCCATATGGCCATTCGAAAGAGGTGCCCGCTGCGCGAGATCAAGGTTATATTTCGACCCCGCCGGTATGACGAGTCCCAGTCGGCGGCGCGGTACCCATGGGACCGCATGGATGACCTCGATGAGGAACTCCGACCGTACCGGATCCGGATATGCTACAACACCCCGACAGTAAGCCGAGCAGAGTTCGATGAAGTAAATCGGAGACGGGTTTCATTGTCAATGCCGTACTCGGATCGACTGCGCATGCCCTCAGTTGCAACGACGTTGGATACCGACCTGATGTAGTTGTGCGTGAACTTGGCAACTTGGCCCATGCCCAGGCCAACGCAGAAGCTTATATTGACGGAGGCTCCGACGAGGGAAGAGTCTCGAAGATGCGTTCCCCGACATTAGACTCGGAGGGCTCCGGGTGTCCGACAGTGAAGGATAGAGTGCCGGCGTTCGCTCCCAACATGCCTCCGGAGCCAGTCGCGTCGATGAATGTGCCCAGTCCAGAATCAATTATGGTCTTGCCAAGTTACTGCCTCCTATCAATTCCGACTGCGCTATATTCAATCAACAGACGGTCCGGATTCCTGGGCGCTGCGATTACGCCGTTCTGGGGTTCCAGATACACCTCTTCCACGTGTGGTCCGGCTGGAAGGCTGGAGAGTAGCGTTCCCGCCTTCGATGGGATGTGCATGCCTCCGACGCGACTTTGATTTCGCTATAGCTCTGGAACTCGCTGGTCAAGCGCTGGATGGCCGCTTGCTTAATGTCAAAGGCACAGAGGGGCTGAAGTTCCTTGCTCCGGTTGCTGGCCATGCCATGGCCGATGATGCCGAGATCGATGAGGCCGTATGGAAAGTTACTGTGCCGGTCCAAAGATGATATGAAATGGTATTAAGAAAACTAAAGGTATGGAGGATGCAAACAACTATAGAGCGACAAAGAACTGGGAGGAGAGGCCCGGCGGATTGGAACCTCCGCCGGGGCTCATGCAGTTAGAGAAACTCGGGGATAACATTATGCCACTTTGGTACAAAAGATAGATTTACGCCAGCTCACACTCAATCAACGACTCTACCCCGCGCTGGGCCGTCCAGATGCTGTTGATCTTCAGCCCAGCCGACCCCAGGAGGTTCCGCCAGTGCCGCTCGGTTCGCTCCCCCGAGCCGATCTGCATCATGATCAGATCTAGGCTTGTTGTTTCCCAGTAGGCCCCTGTATCCGGGATCACGTTTTCGTTGACCAGGAGTTTGCTGTACCCCGGCTTCATGGCCTCTACTAGATTGGCGAGGATCTTGCGGCAGAGGTCATCCGGCCAGTCGTGTAGCACCGAGTGCATGTAGTACGCCCGAGCCCCTTTTACTGGCTGCTCGGTGAAGAAGTCATGCCCTGTGACCTCAATTGAGGGGTGAAGACCCTTGACGGACGATACGACTTGCGGAAGATCCTGGAGCACCAGGCGGCCTGGAACGCATGGCCATTTCTGGCGGAAGTCCTGTATGTCATGGCCGAAGCTACCGCCGACGTCGACCATGAGGACATCGTCTTGACCAATCTCGACGTCGTCGATGAGCTGCTCTTGCACGGGATAGAATCCCGGGTCCATCCAGCGGGCGCGACCTTGAGCGTAAACTCCCATGTGGTTGTTGAATCGTTTCGCTGTGATCGGCTCTCGCTGAACGTGCCCGAAGAAGCCCATGTCCGTGTTATATCCCAGCTGGAATGCGGTCTCTGCGGCACTTGTCGGATTGCGATAGTTCGTCTTCTCCAGGAAGGCGGGGAGGGCAAGAATACCCATGGTAAACCGAGATGTCCTACTCTTGGTCAGCATCGTCCGATATCGTGGCCGTGGTGTTGCCAAAACATACATTAGTGGAAAAGCGTCGCTATACTTCTCGACCGTCAGGACCTTAGAGAAGCCAGTTGGGCAGTATTCATCGCATCCGGTCTCTTGGATCACGCCCATGGCAGCGAGGTGCTTCATCATGCGACCTGTACAGGATATCCCTTGTCAGTCTTTGGGTGATCAAGAGGCATTTGAATAGGGTCATCCAACCAAGCAGCTCCGGCTCTGCGCCCGTTACCTCCGCCAACTCCGCGACCGTCTTAGACTCATTGTCCGTTCCGAGCGCGTTGAAAAGATCGAGTCCGACCGCCGTCTCAAGGGCAGCGTAACTCGTGGACTGCCGGATGCATTAGCCCGAAGCAGCGATCTCCTTCGTGAACTTGACATACCTCCGCCCAGCAGTGGCGAATGATCGCTTCGCGAGGAGTCTCAAGAGCATACACCAGGGACCTGGCGGCCTCGAGCAATTTCAGTCTGGCCTGTGGCTGTGCGCTGAGGAATTCCTTGCCGGAAAAGGCGATTTCGTCGAGAAGTCCGGGGACCTGCGCGGGGAGGTTGGGCGAGACAGCCAGTTCCTCGACTGTGAGTGGCTTGAACTTGCCATTGGCATGGGCCGCATGGCTGTTGGCCCTTCCGTTCGTGCGATTCTCGGTGTGAGGCATGGTTACAATGTTGTACAATGGGATGAGGCAGTGGGTTTGTGGACAGGGACAGATGCAGATGAGCAGCAACTTGCAGATGCCAAAAAGCAAGCAGTCTTCAACCCCTGACAGGGATTAATCACGCCAGAGCCATAACAACAAGTCGGCAATCGGCAATGATTCATGGACCATATAGCCTCGGTTGGCCACAGCTTCAAAACCAGTCACTCATTCCCATCCTGGCAACTGACGGTCGTGATCATCATCATGCGATGCCATAACGCGAACTAAAAAGCCGGCGCGATCCTTCGGCCCACGCCTGAGGGGCCGTTGAGCGCAATCATCCCCACTGGCTAGGCCCAGCGTCTCAGATTTAAAGGCAATACTGGCCGGAAGATACTCTAGCAAGCCCTGAATTTCAGTGCATTGACGCCACCCCAGGGGATTGACGGCCGATGGCAGCCGTTGCCGCATTATTGGGGCCGTCCGCAATCAACATGCCATTCCATAGCGCCCCAATCTCTGCAGCGATCGGCACGAGCAAGCAAACATGCTTTCTTTGTGTCCCTTTCCTTCGGCTCAGCCGCGAGCGCTCTTAAAGTCGTTGTTACTCAGTGATAAGGTTTCGCTGCATTAGTACTCGGAATTTCTGACAATTCGCCCTGTTACACGGTCCCGACACAATGGGCGCTGCTTATGCGGACCAGACCAAGGGGCCCAGGATCCTGGGTGTCTTCTGGGCATTCTACACCGTCAGCGTATTCATGGTCACCGCTAGACTGTACATTCGGGCGCGATGGCTGAGGAACATTGGCCTTGACGACTACATCATTGCGGTATCCATGGTGAGTTCTGAAGTGCTATGGTAGACTGCTCTGAAAAGGCTCATTGGTATTGTAGGTCATGCTCACAGGATATACAATCGTCACCACAGTGAATGTCGGTCTCGGCTTCGGCAAACACACATCAATGATCACAGCAGACGGGGGCGCAACCCTCTTGACCAAAGTCCTGCTCATCAACTATATCGATTTCGCCTTTGGAATCATGTCCTTCACGACGCCAAAACTCGCCATCGCCGCCCTCCTAAATCGGATCATGAATCCCGGCAGATTCCATCGTGTCTGGCTCTGGGTGCTTACGGGCCTGGTATTTGTCTCCTCGACTATCTGTATCGTCGTGCTCTTCACCATGTGCGATCCGCCCGAAGCGCTTTGGAAAATCGAGCTCATGGCCGCTGGCGCTACCTGTCGATCGACCAGTATTTTGGTCGGTTACGCAATCTTCACAGGAGGTCCGTCAAGCCCGGGCTTATACCCTTTTCCGATCGCTAACCAGCACGATAGGTGTCTCGGGCTTCGCCGACTTATACCTCGCTATCTATCCGACTGTCGTCCTGATGGGTCTTCAGATTACATTGAAGAGGAAGCTTGCCTTGTGCGCTGCGCTTGGTCTGGGTGCTGTGTAAGTAACCCTTGATCCTGCAATGACCGATGCTAACCCTGAGCAGGGCTTGCGCGATGGCGATCGTCAAATGCTTCCAGCTTCCAAGTTTATACGATACGTCGGACTCAACATGTATATCGTCTCCCCGTTATGCTCAGAATGTAATGTTCCTACTAACAGCTGCAGTTGCCACGGCCGATCTCGTCATCTGGACAAGGTACGTCGCTAAATCTCCAATAAGCATTCTGTGAGGCTAACGATTCCAGCATCGAATCGAACATCATAATCATGGCCTCGTGCATCCCAACCCTTGGTCCCCTCTACGAAATGATGCTCGGCAAACGTTCCTGGAGCTCCAACCAGCGCTACTACTACAAGGATAAGGGCAGCGCAAACCAAGGGCCATCTACTTCAGAGCGGCACACCAAACGATCGAATTTTACCGCCGACAAGGATGCTGACCTTTTTACTACGAACATCGGCACAACTCGGGAAGGTAGCCAGGAGAGTATCCTGCGACCGGATTTGACCCATGGGGCGCACCTTGCTGGTCGGATTCAGCGGACGGATCAGGTTGTTGTGGAGTATGAGATGCGGCCGATGGATGTTGGGAGGGCTATGTGAGGTATTTGAGGATACTAATTGACCAAGATACGAAGGTAAGGAATGGACCAGGAGTAAAAGTCTGTACATCAATCTCACCGAAAGAGGAAGTTGACCCTGTGGTATTCTTGCCAATGCCGGTGTCATGGTATTCATTTTCTCCGGAGTCACTGTTCACAACCGTATCCAGTTCATCAATCTGTCATGGATTCTGCTCTTTGCCCGTGTCATCATCTGCAGGCCTTTCATCCTTAGAAAGGGGAATCTGAATGGTCTTTGTCTTCCGTCGGTGACAATGAGCCGGCCTTCATTGTGAAGTACTCTGGATCCCATCCAGCGAGCCTTGATCACCTGCCAAACACACTGTGCCTGGACCAGTTGATTGTATTTGAGGATTCGGATTGCATTGTCTTCATGACTGGGACACGCACTACTCGCCCATTCCAATGTTCCTTTCTTGTCCCATCCAGAGCGCCTCGTAACAACAGCCTTCAATCAACAATGAAGGCATTATCCCGGCACAAAGCGCATATAAGGAAAATAAAGGGAAAGAACCATACTGAAAGGGAGATGCCACTCAGACCACGACAATCCAATACATAAATACCGCCTCCGACCCTCTCTGCTGTTGCATTTGGAATCCATCCACCATCAACTCCTCGATCCCCAAGTCGAGGCCTCCATCCACACACATCCACACCCACCTCACAAACAAACTACCTACATTACAATGTCAAAATGGCTTACGAAATCCCCAAGGGCTTCGAGCTGAGCGTCTTACTCGGCGATCGCTTCCCACTCAAAGGCGAAGCCTGCTTCGGCTTCGCCATCGGCAGCGACGGGTCCCTGTACCACGGTGCCATGGGCGAGTTCGAGCGCGACATCAATATCACTATGGTGAAGGTAAGGCCCACGCCGGAGCAAGCCAAGTCCTTTAAGCCTGTGGGCTGGGACGAGATCGAGGAGGCTGAATGGCGAACCGATCTGCCCAAGCTGGGCGAGCAGGCTCTTGGGTGGTATTATGCCTCCCAGGGAAAAGGCAAGTTCTTCAAGGTCTTAGAAGGCGTTGCGACTGTGCAGCTTGCTAAGGAATCTGTCCCTGTGAGGCTTGTCAGGCCGTTTGCGAGGGAGGATCCGCGCCATTTTGGTAATTGGCCGCGGGGCCTCTATATCGAGCTGTTGCAAAGCAGGGCCATGGAGGCGGAGAATCGGAGGGCTACGGAGGAATACTACGAACGTCTACCGGGGAAAGTCCAGGGTTGGCTGGACACCTTGGAGGATGATGAGGAAGACACCTCCAGGCCCTTTTCTGGCCTTGATTAAATCCAGGGCGTTTTAGTGACTGCTCGAATTGCCGATGCCGCACAGTCTTTCGTTCACTTTGTTAGTTCATATATTGGAATTTAAAAAGTCTCTACATAATCCATGATCTCTATAACGTAGTTTCCTTTCCAGTGTCATTATACTCCATATTGTGACTCCGTAGCCTGCAGAGGTTGATATGTGCTATCCAGCGTCCAGCAAATCCAGACCATGCATCACCCAGTATCTCCGTGGCTTGTAGAATAAAGATGTATGCAAATGTGCCTATTGACGTCAAAATGGAAGGAAGAGTCACCGTTTCGATTGTAGGTGGGTTCTCACTGCCTCCTTGCCAACCGCCTGCAGAAAGTTGCTGAATAGTTTGTTGCTGAATAGGCCGTTGAAAGAAACCATTCATCTCTCACACTTTCTTTCTTCTTTATTCGGTTCTGTGGTATTCATTACTAAAAGCCCTTGGGCCTCTATCTGCAAGGAACAAACAAAGAAGACTACGCAGCGTCCTGCTTTGTCCACCGTTGAGGATAAGGATTGTTCTCCATCGATATAAAGAACCTCAAAGGCTGTAATCGCATTCAAACAACAGAGAGATCATCGTACAAAGGAACGCTCGAACATAAATAGGGCCTCATTTCATCTGAACTCGACTTCTTCTCATCCCATCCTCTCCAACAATTACGTCTTCCAGCCGTACTTCCAACTCACCAAGATGTCTTTTCACATGTCTTCCAACATGGCTTTCAATACTTCCTCGTCCGATATCGAAAGCCTCCCCGCAGGCTTCGATATCCGCGTGATAACCAAGGAGCGCCCCCCAGTTAAAGGCGAGTCCTGCTGGGGCTTCACCTTGAGCCGCCACAACAGGCTGCACGCCCTTGTCATGGGTGAGTACTGGTCCAGTATCAGCCTCCCCGTCATTGTCTTTGTGGAGCCGAATCCAGGGGAAGAGCGCTTGTTTACACTCGTGGAGAGGCCCGACATCGAGGAGGCCATGGCCCGGACGGATGTGCCCCAGGTCGGCCAGCGGTCTGTGGGGTGGATGTTGCATCCCGATATGAAGGATGGCAAAATCAAGGTGTGGAAGGGGCCTGGTGTTGTCACGACGGTTAGCACTGATTTTAAGCTCGAAATGGTGAAACCGTTCAAGCGCGATGATCCACGCCATCTGAGTAATTGGCCTGCCGGTCTATTTGGGAGGCTGCTGCGTGCGAGGTTGGAGGAGTTGGAGGCACAAGATCAGCAGGCTCCTGCCGGTCAAGCTCCAGATCCAGCGATTGCCCGTATCCAGCAGATGTTGGAGCGGCTGAGTGTTGACCAGAGCGATGAAACATTGCCCGATGCACCTCCTCCTGACCATCCCGAGGGGAACTCTCAGTAACTTTGTTTCCTTGCTTGTTGTTTAGTTTATTTGCTGTTCATGCCTTATCGTCACTCATTATCATTCAATGCAATTACCCCTGTCTCTCGCTCCTACTGACTATAAACATAATGATACTCGAGGTCATAGACTGACTCGCTGAGATAAAGCCGGAAGTAGTAGACGCGTTGTCAACTGTAACAACAGCATAGAGGGCTGGGGGCCGTCAGCTAGATATTCTTGACAACCAGTTGTACATGGTCCGAATCATAGCGTTGTCCCCAGTTACCAGCAACACTAGAACCACCATCTTTTGCCATCAGGACAGCTTGGCTTTTCATGAGTGAGTAGCTCGCGCTTCGTCGGGCACATTGCAAGGATCAAGGCCCGGCCAAGAGACGCTCCGTCCCATCGCCGTCGCGGAGGCTTGCTGCAACGTTGAAAATGATGAGGCCGCCCAAGCAATTGACGCTTGAATCGACGATGCCTGAGTGCATGCGCGAGTCTGTTGCCGGCGTGGGGTGTAGTTAGGCCATTGCGACTAGAGCTGGCCATGACGATGGCACACCTTTCGCAAGGTCGCCTACATGTAGAGTAGAGAAGGACGGTCTGATGCGCTTGGCAGATAAAGCAAACGTTCTAATCCGTATCTCGTATAGCATAAGTCATCAGATTCGTTACATTAGACGCTCGGCGCTGTATAGGTCGCTATCTCACACAGGGATAATTATCGCCAACAAGCAGCAAAACCGGATAACGACCAGCTGCCAGTCGGGCGAGAACCATCCGAGTACAAGTTCTAGTCAATGGGAGTCCACGTCGGTTGTATAGGTTGTCGCTTGCAGGACTCACCAGGTCGCACCTCGAGTCGGAAGCGGAGGCAGAAGTAGGAGTCGCGGTGCTGTTGCACCCGACTATTTCGATGCTGTCGTGGGAACCGGATTGGTCGCTATAGCTGTACCCCGTGCATGGTGAAGGGGCCGAGTAGTCAGTCTCGCCGCCAGCCCAGTCGAGCGTGCCCCGTGCATTGTTGGGATCGCCGTTGGCCCAGATACCCAAGCGTACTTTCATGTGTGTTTGCGGGTATCGAGTTCCATTGACTGTGTCGCTGTAGGCGAGGGTGCGCACGGCTTCCCCGCTGATAGACCACACTAGCTGTTCTGTCGACCAAGTCAATCTGTACTTGTGGAAAATTGTTTGAGGCTAGGTAACCGATTCCCAAGTTCAACGGCCATATGACCCACTATCGCCTTTCCCAAAATAGCCTGTCTGGAGCTTCGTCGAGTAGCCCCCGAGGACCTCCTGGGGAATATTAGCGGAGGTATCGGGGTATATAAAAAGCAATTGGAGTCCCACCCAATCAACTTCATCCAGATAGTCTGATTGCAAGAAAGTGCTGCTCACGATACCGTACCTGGCGCAGCCTTCATCACCACAGATATTTCGCCGAAAAGATGTAATAGCTTGTCTCGATGGTCGGCGAATCACCCTGGCTGTTGATGGTGAACTCTGCGCCGTAGGGACAAGCGGAAATGATGCTGAAAGCTGTAGTCCGTTCTCCCAAGTCAAAGGGTTGGGTAAAGTCGTAACTCGTACTGGATGCCGCGGAGCCCGTGTCTGCCGGACATGACTTCTCCAAGGGGTTGCTGCTGGTGGAGGAGTGCGCCCGCCGGGATCCACAGTGTGCCCGCAACAGTGGCGAGATACAAGATCGACGGGACCATGGTCGAGACTTAATACAGTGCGAAAGGATCACATCTTGCGAGCGACAGCGCTGCAGTTGGAATATAAGTCTCTGCGCTTGTAGTAAAAATGAGGTGGCTGAGAGTTGTTGTATAGACAGCCGGATCGGCAAAAGCTTGGAAGGCAAGCATGGACCAAGGCCACGCGGATGATCCACTGTCTATGCTTGTTGCAGCTTAGCTTGATGAATTTGCCGCTTACTCACCTGTCAGCTTGTCTTTTTCTGGTATAGACTCGGTGAATTCAAGGCGGGTGGGCCTGATAGATCAGGAACTGAGGGCCGAACTGTTGCTGCCTGCAAATTCAAATTTGGCATCTCCCACATCCCGAAAAGGGGGAGGCCCCTGTGAACTTGCGACGCATGAGCAATTGCTTTATGTTTCAGGGTTCGATCCCGTCCAGTTCGTTGCCTCAGCTGAATCTTCGACTCCGTCGTCGGCACGCCATCGTGACACCATGAATCCGCTCCGATTCCTCTGGGGCTTCCTTCTTCTCGCCCTGATCGCATTTGCCGACGAGCAGACCGACTGCAATCCGCTCAACAAGACATGTCCTGCCGATCCCGCCCTGGGCACCGAACATACGTGGTGGCTCAACTCCACGCTCGATGATTCCCTCTGGGATATGGCCACGGGCACCCCCGAATACACCTCTGACGGCGCCGAGTTCTCAATCAAGACGGAGAATGGTTCGACATTGTTGGAGTCCAACTTCTATATCTTCTTCGGCGTGATGGAGGCTCATGTCAAAATGGCCAAGGGTGCGGGAATCATCAGCAGCGTTATTCTCCAGTCGGACGATCTGGACGAGATTGACTGGGAGTGGGTGGGATACAACACCAGCGGGGTGCAATCGGATTTCTTTGGCAAAGGCAATACGACGACCAGCGACCGTGGCGGAAACCATGCCGTGTCGAATGCAGACACCGAGTTCCACAACTACACCACATACTGGGATCAGGACCGCTTGGAATGGTGGATTGATGGCGACCTGGTGCGAACGGTGAACTATTCCGAACCGTTGACTGTCTATGGAAAGAACTATCCTCAGACGCCTTGCCGGGTCAAGGTCAGCTGTTGGCCGGTCGGATTGGCTTCACAGTCGATAGGAAATATCGAATGGGGTGGTGGTCTCGTGAATTGGACGAATCTCCCCTTCACGATGGAGGTACAGAAGATCCGCGTCAAGGACTTCCATACGGCCAAGGAATACACATATTCTGGACACACCGGCTCGTACGACAGTATCAATGTCATCAGGTCAGTCTCTGCCATCTCTGACGCTCACATCACCCGCTGACTTCTTCCTAGTGGAAACTCCACCGCAAAGACCGAAATCGAAAAGACGCCGGCCAAGTCGCTGTCCGACAAATGGGATGATCTGGGAACAGGCGCCCACATTGGAGTATACGTTGGTGCTGCCGTAGCTGGTGCTCTGGCTATCGCTGGCTTGGTGTGGTACTGCATCCGCCAGCGCCGAAAGGGCCGTCTCGAACGTGCACTAGCGGAGGGAGATGAGAATTCATCGGCCACGGAACTGGACGCCTTGAAAAAGCAGTGGCGACAAAGTGACTGGAATGCGAGCTATACTCCGCTCAAACAATAACTGGCGTCTGCCGATTGTCGTTGTTTAGTCAAGTCATTGCATAGATAGATGCTCTTGCGTAGATAGGTACGGTATATGTTCGTTGGCCTTGTTTATAGCGCATTGGGCCAAGCGCTTTAATTCGAGAATAATTTTGCGAGCCGAAGCTAGTCTGGTGGCGTAGGATCTGGGCGTCTCTCCTAAATGCTGTCGATCCAAAAACGATGGAATAGCGCCGATAAGGTCGAGATCGCCCTGGCAGTCGTCGTCGAGGGGATTGCACAGGACGTTGCAAAACAATACGATGATCGCTTGAATAAAGTAGGAGATGGAGAACCTGGTGAAGCATTAGAACTAAGAATGTCAACCGATAGAAGGGGAAATCGTACAGGAGATTCGCCGGGCCCAGATCCAGGCTTGAAGCCACGAACTGTTGCAAAAGCGACCGACTGGCTGTGACGGAGATGGCAAGACTCGAACTGGGGTCTCGTGCATTCTTGTTTTGTACCCACGAAGCGCAGCGACTGCTGGTCTGGTGGATCATGACCATGCAATGGTGGTACTGGAGATGGAAGATGGAAAATCGCACGTCAGTATTGTGTAGGGGATCCCGTCCGCCTGCGAGCAGGGTCGGCTGATTGCTGGACTTGAGCGAACGCTTCCACATGTCGAGCTCATGATCTAGGTCCCGGATGGTTCGGAGGATATTTGCTTCCGGCTGCTGAAGAGCGATCGGCGAATATAAATCACGCTGGATCCTGGACTGGATGAACGCTAGCTGAACATAGGTGTGGAGATCGGATCCTGGGTCAGGGTCGCCATGCAGACATTGCGTGAGGTCTAAATCACAGTGTGCATCTTCCAGCCGAGGCGGAAGTCCGGTCACCATACTTAGTCCCTTGTCACAAACGTAGACGATCCAGAAGAGTCGTCGGATGTGAGAATTACTATCGGACGGTTTCTCCCATGCGGCCGCAGGCGAGATATGGCCCTTGAGGTAGCAAGCGTATCGCGCAGCTGCTGACAGCAACTGGTCGACGGTGTGAAAGTCACCGGCGAGTCCTTGAGCACAAAGACACTGTATTTGCATTAGTACTGTCCTTCCCCATTCAACAGGGAGCGACAGCATACCAGGATTAAAAGAGTCTGGAAGCCGTCTAAGGAAACCGGTTCCTCAAGAGCCTTGGGTAACAACCGGTGAGCTTCTCGGGCATGCTGGTCGCTGTACTTGAGAGGATATCCCCTGGGCCCATGAACGGACAAGGCAGTCAAGGACATGAGTGCGAAAATACATGCCCTGGCACTGTGCGGTCCCGGAGACGTTGAGGAGTACCTCTGGGAGTAGGCAGCATCAACAGTACTCTCAAACAGGGCACGGTTGACGACAGGAAAAAACAATCCAAGAGGAGAGGCTAGATACTGGCGGATTTCTTCGTTAAGAAAGGTCAGATCAGGCAATGGGAGGTCGGAAGCGACCGCCATGGGAGGTTGAAGTGACTGTGGCAACTCGGACGGAAGGTATTCTGGACAGAATATTTCGCCAGTGCAATGATAAACCCATTCGCGGCCGCCCTTCGAGAAGAAGGGAGTGCCGTCGAAGGTGCAGATGTTGCCCAGATAGCGGCCGGCCAGCTGCAGATTGTGAGCGAAGGCAGGCGCGAAGGTCTCAACCAGCCCCTCACGACCGGAAGGCGCCGCGGTCGCAACTGCAGCACCTAGCTTGGAGAGCCGATCGTAGGTACATGCGAGACGATGATGGGAGCACCAGTCGCACTTGGGAGCGGCGGCGTCGCACTTGATCTGTGACGGTGTTAGTTTGGGCAGTCCAGGGAAAGATCAAAAGGGTGGAGTACCTTCCTAGAGTAGCAAGCATCGCATGAGCGGGCTATGCGGCCTCGTCGCTTGGGCAGTTTCGGTAATTCTGGCATGGTGGTTGGAGAGATGGCGATGGAGACGGTGGAGAAGACGGAGGAGGAGAGAGAGGAGACGGAGGGGAGGGAGAGAGCGGGACACGGAGAAACGCATGGGTCCGGGCTGGGCTTGGCGCCAAGACAGCGTCAAGTATGGCATTGGCATTGGCATCACCGATACAGAATTAACTGAGACTGCTTGGATGAGGATTGGATATGTCAGACTAGCTAGAGACAAGGATATACCTATTTAATAGGTGGATAGACAGCGTTCCTTCTGTGCCCGCTACCCGAGCGCTCGTTGCGACTATATATATCTGCAAACTGTCATCAGCTGAAGCAGCAAATATGAGGTGTAATGGAAAAGGTGCTTTGAGATAAAATAATAGGAAAGCCAGTGACCAGCCTGAGCGAGTCGGCAGCGTTGCCTAATAGTTCTCGGGTATGTATAACTATAGCATATCGAGGTGCCTATACAGTGGACGAATAAGACAACATATTACAATTCTACAGAAGACAAATGGAAAACAATCTCAATAAAAACAGCATAGATTAGAAATGTAAAAACAAGCGAACAGATTAAAGAGCGACAAGAAGAAAGACATAAGAGAGACACAACTTACTGCGGCCCAAACCCCTTCTTCACCATCATCTCCTCCAGGAAGCCGGTCGGACGGGGAGGAAGGGGCTTCTTACGCATGGTGTAGTTCTTCGTGCGCAGGGTCAGATCCTCCACCGTGTCCTCCACGACATACAGCCTCAGCTTGTAGAGCTGCCTGGCCTTCTCCTCTTTCTCACTCAGCTTCCGGCGCAGCTCCTCCGCCTGGTCCGTATCTCCGATGTAGAGCAAACGCTCAATCTCCAGCATCCTCCACGTTCCGGGGGGAAAGTTGAGATCGTGGCGCGGGTCGTCTCTGGAGAAGGGATCGACGATAAGCAGGTTGCCGTTGCGACGGCAGTACTTGACTGTCCCGATGCCTTTGTAGTATTGGTTGGTTTTGCGGTTCCACCACCATCCAAATGCTATGTCGCCAGGCCGGTGCTCGTCCTTCCACGTTGCAATCTGGTCCGCATCATCGCTTGTACAGGGTACGAATGTGTCTTCCTGTCCCTCGGGCGGGGTCACCCAGACCATGCATGGGGAGTGGTACGTCGCGATCAGGGTTCCTGTGCATGAGCGGCCAGTAATGGTCTTGTCAGCCTTGTCCACGGTACCGCCCATGCAGGCTTCACCGAGCTTTGGCATGCGAGTAAAGTTCAGCACATTGCGGTCGAAACCCTGAGGGATGGTGAATTTGAAAGAGGGAAGATCATTGTCATCGATGGTGTCAGCGCCATCAGGGATTTTCCATTCAAGCTTATTTGAAGACCTGTTGCCTTGAGTAGTGGTATCACCGCGAACGGGAGCTTTACCTTTGCCTGCAGACATGTTGAGTGGAGTAACTGGAAGTAGTTACTGGAAGACTGGTCTGTGTGCAAAACATGTTCGGACGGAGTTTTAGCAGGTATTTATGCATCACACAGCCTGCGTACGGCCTGTGTTTGATAATATGCTCTTTGTCCTTTGCCATTGTTCTCCTTTCAAATGCAATAATGCCCGCTGTAAATGGGGCAGTTTGAAAGACTTCAAAGGCGTGTCCCTTTGAACTCTGATATCCCTTGTTGTGGAATAGGCCAATAGAAGTGCATAGAAGAAGATTGGTCTAACGGCGACAATGCCCGCTTTGAATAAAGCAGTTTGAAAGACGTTCAAAAGCGTATCCCTCTGAACTCTGGTGTCCATTGTTGTACAACAGGCCAATAAACGTGATATTAGTAAAAGAAGCCCAACAGCGTCCTGTCCAGCCTACTGATTGGATGCAGGAGGCGAGGGATGAATATTGCAGTCAAAGATATAAAGAGGCTTAACAATGGGTAAAGGGAGATCTTGTTATCCAATAACCGCTTGCGGTCATCAGGGCAGGGGTGAACAATGACCAGGCGTGAAATAGCCGATGGGCAAGAGATTGACAGAGACAAAGGGTAGGAAGACAATCTGAAACTGTTGCAAGAGACAAAGCCAGCGGTTGGAGGCGATGTGCAAATCAGACCGAGAAAAGTCGTCATCGGCCGGACCCCGAGGCCAGCCCTAACATCACTGGGAGCAACCACCAGAAAGTTGGCCTAGTCGTTGGGCGAACATACTTTGGTTCGAAGGCAGTATTGCTTTTATACCTCGTAATGTCCAGTCACAGAGGCAAAGTCAGTAAGCACCAGCCGATATATCTATGCTTCCTCGCGCATGAGCCATTTCTGTGGAGCATGGCGTGCTTAGAAACTGCCGTAGCGGGCCTCACCAAGCTTCCTCATAGGATGCTAAGCTATCGCGGGTCTTGGAGACTGCCATCAAAACTTCAACCAGGATCTCGTGTTTGTGATGGGTCTTGACGTGCTTCTTGTTGGGGAGATAAAAGGTCGCCCAGCTCTGCGGTATGCTTCCAAGGTGCCCAGACAGCATTTCACATTGACCATGGCTTTCGATAGAGTGGCCCGGTTCTACCGGTCTTGTCTGTTCCAGATCATCATCGTTGGACTTGTCGCGTTTTGCGAGCCCGGCATTTGGACGGCACTGAACAATCTGGGAGCAGGAGGAAACGCAAGCGTAAGCCGCCTCGCCATTGGATTTTCAATGGGTGACTGCTAACTCTCTGAAAACAGCCTTTCCTAAATAATGCCGCCAATGCCCTAACCTACGGCCTCATGTCGGTCGGGTGCTTTCTCGCCGGAGGCGTCACGAACAAGATCACCGCAAAGTGGACCTTGTTCATCGGTGCCGCCTTCTACACGCCCTACGCCGCCGGTCTATACTGCAACAATCGATACGGGAACGAGTGGTTTCGGCTGCTCGGAGCTGCCCTCTGTGGAGTTGGCGCGTCTCTGCTCTGGGCCAGTGAGGCTGCCATTGCCGTCGGATATCCGGAGGAGGACAAAAGGGGACGGTACGTCGCTGTCTGGATGGGCATTCGGCAGATGGGACCGCTTGTTGGTGGTGCGATATCGCTTGCCCTCAATGTCAATACAGCGCATGTTGGGAAGGTCACCTACACCACGTACCTGGGCTTGGTGGCTATCTCTTCACTTGGTGCTCCGTTTGCGCTGTTCCTGTCCCAACCGCAAGATGTCGTCCGAAGCAATGGCACCAAGATCCCGTACATGAAGAAGACGAGTTTGTCTATTGAGGCGCGGGCTATCTGGAAACAGCTTCGGAATAAGTACATGCTTCTGCTTATTCCGGTCTTTCTTGCTGGACAGTTTGGCTCCACGTATCAAGGAAACTACCTCACTTGTATGTCTTTCCCCTTCTGACCCTCCGACAAAGAAGCTGACGAGATAAAGCATACTTTACCGTCCGATCAAGAGCTCTTGCATCCTTCCTGACCGCCGTCGTCGGTGCAGCAGCAAACCTCATCACCGGCACCGTTCTGGATCTGAAATACTTCTCCCGGGAGACTCGCTCCAAGGCAGTCTACATATTCGTCCTGATCTTCGTCACCGCATCCTGGACATGGAACGCAATCGTACAAACCAGGCTCTCGCGTATGGCTGAGCCACCGGCATTTGACTTGGGCGATGGCCCCTTCTTCAACTCGGCCTTTACCGTCTACATGTTCTTCCGGTTCTTCTACGAGGTACTGCAGACGTACATCTATTGGCTGATGGCGGAAATCAAGGGCGCTCAAGCGGATGGCGATGTCGCGAGGACAACTGGTATCCTGAGGTCGTGGGAGTCCATCGGCAGTACCATTGCGTATGCTGTAGGAGCGACCCACTGGCCCAATCTGAACCAGATGATCTTGGGCTTTGCCTTATGGGGCTTCACCATCCCTTTTACCCTGATGGCTGTCTTCGGAAACTGGAACCAGGCTGGGACGGTCGAGGTGCAAGCCCAAAGCAGCAGCGAGGACCTCGAGACGCAGAGGGTTACCGTGAATCCTGACCGAAAGGATTAGACCGAGCAGTCAGTCATTCAGTTGCCTCCTATAAAATGTATAGAGTTTATTAGAGGATAAAGAATGGATTTACATAAAGATGCGCAGATCGACATCAATACACTCATCACATCCAATCACCTTTATTGCTGCCAGAACTATACAGAACAACTTGCCATTGGCTGCAGAGCCGAGCACCCCCCTTCTGAGACGTCCTGTGCCAATAGCCATCCCACCAGTCACACCTAGGAGCCATGGCTACTATAACAGGTCGGGATATATCTGCTTACTAACGCTCTACCCCTCACCCCGCCATCTCCGGAGAGAGACGGAACATCGTCCTGTCCTCATCCAGCATAATCGTCACACGAAATAGCAATGGCAGAGTTTCCTCCACCAAGTCTGCAGCCGCTGGCCCAGGAAGTTGTCGAGCTTCTCAAGGCCCGCAAGGAGACCGTCTCCGTGGCCGAGACCGTACGTCCCTCACCCGACAGACCGAGGAAAACATTCTGATCTGCTTAGGCTGCCGGAGGCCTTGTCTCAGCATGTCTGCTCTCTGTTCCAGGAGCTTCGGCAATATACAAGGGCGGATTGACAGTATGGCATCAATCCATGTTATTCGTGCTCGAAGTCATACTAAAACCGGAAGGTGTACACTTTGGAGTCCCGGCTAGCCTTCGCCGGCTGGACAGAAGCGAACATCGAGAACTACAGCGGTCCTACACCTGACATTGTCGGTGGGCTGGCCGATCATACTCGCCGCACCTTGAAATCCACGTATGCGATCAGTGAGAGTGGTACCGCTGGGCCGACCGGCGGGACGACCAGGAACCGGACACCGTGAGTCAACAGCCTTCTAGATGCACCGTTTTCTGCTGATTTCTGTAGCGGCTATGTGGCTTTGGCCGTATCGACAGCGGACGTAACCCACACCCGCGAGGTTGAGACCGGGAGCAGGAACCGGGCCGAGAATATGGTGGCCTTTGCAGCAGAGTCGTTGAGGTTGTTGAAGGAGGTCCTGTCCAAGTCTGGGGCTTCTGCTCTTTAGAGTCTAGGATATATAACCTACTGTTGAATACGTTTTGCAGAGAGTCATCCAGATACCGCTCAGTCCCTGACGCCGTTTAGAATCCCGCAGGCACAGGAGCCAACCTGGGGACCACCTCACGTTACACCTCAATTCAATGGGGACTGCATTGCCGTTGTACAGTACACTCTGAAGCAGTACGGGCCCTCAACCTCTTTCTTTGGCGAACCTGTCGCACGATATGGATGCCGACAAAATAATGAGCATGAGGGCCGGGGCTGAATGGTTCCTGCAACACTCAGGCAGTGGTATAATATAGACTGTACATCGGGCGTTCTGGAACTCTCTGGTCCCCCTGGATCTGGCAAACCATCTGACAAGTGTTGAATGTGCTTTGATGTCTTCTGAGCTTATTGTCTGATAGTTGAGACTGGGATCATGAAAGGGATCACTGAAAGAGACAATGATACCAGGGAGTCTCCTAAACAAAGACCTTGAATCGTAGTATGGTGACAATGAAGTGAATGGAACAGAGAAACAATGATGCTTTGATCTGGGCCTATCAGTGAATCACCGAGTGAATCACAAAGCAGCGAAGCTTCTGGAACTTGGCTATATAGAGGCCAACAGACCCCCGTTTGCCTTCTCCCTCCATCCCACCCAGCAGAGTCCATCGTCTGCATCTACTCTCCCCAACTCAACTTGACGTCTATACCGAATCATCCCTATCCAAGACCCACCTCATCGTCATGGCTTCTACCGCCTCCTCCTCCGGAACTGGAACCGTCCAGATCGTCCTTGCCTACGGGCACCAACACAGCCACTTCCAAGCCTCCGACCTGGAATACATCATCCCAATCATCCACTCAAGGCACGTCATGCTCACCCTGGTGCGGCAGGACACAACCAACTGCGACTGGATCCACGTCACCAACGGGCCGGAGCAGTACGAGCGCCTGATCGAGCACCACAGGAACGAGCGCGACACCAACGCAGAGTCCTCCGAGCAGGTCGGGCAGGTGCCGGAGCACGACGTGCCTCAGATCTTGCAGATTGCCGAGTCGATCCCGGCCCAGCGGTGCCAGCTGTACGCGGCGGCGTTGCTGGATCGCCTCGCCGAGCGTGGGTTCGTCGAACGTGCAACGGCCCAGCGCTTCCGCTCAAACATCGGTCCCTGCGTCGCGGATCAGCTGCGGGCCCCGCCTGTGAGTAGGACTGAGGACGCTGTTGAATTCATCACGAGACACTATGCGTTCTCGTACGAAATGAGCGACGAGGCGGATATGCTCAAGGACCGGTGCTTCCACGATCAGCGGATTGAGCCTGATCCTGTCCGCGTTGCGATGCTAGACCTGATGCTTCGAGATCCGGAATTTGCCCGTTTTATGTTTGGTCTTGCTGGCTATGGCAGTGATGCTGATTCGGCCCGTGGAGCTGGGGTTGGTGGAGGGGATGCGCAGGCTGGCTCCTCGAGGCCCCGTACGAACCGTCGTCAGCAGGATCAAGGACCGGCAGAGCAGCGTTGATCTCATGCGTTGATCTCATGCTTGGTGTTTCTGACTGTGGCCAGCCAGGCAAGGCTTTCGAACCTATTGTTTCCGTCTCTACTTTACCAGACTTTCGTTCATACCAGGTTTTCTTTATCAAAATAACTTCTCTTCGTGCCAAATAACAATAAACCTTCCGATCGTCTGACCTCCGTAGCATCGTATACTTGTATCCTTTAGACACCCGTAGACGCGTTGGACATGGAAAGCAAGTGTTAATTCACCAAAGGCCGCGAGTTAGGGCTGGAGCCTGGCAGACCAATTTCAGCAGCAATTCTATTATATCCAAGCAAAAGTCGAAAAGGATACCTTCCCCAGGTCGAAGGCGCTACGACTGGGTACGTTGGATCATACTTTGATATTCGATCTCCCGGTACGCTGGGCGCGCAACTACTCTTTATGAAGTCTTGCAACAACTCAGATAGCCAGCTGCCTGCATCGAGTAAGTCATCCTAATAGGGAATACTGAAGGCGAGAAACTAGGCCATGTAGAGTACAGAGTCAGGGGGTACGTTGAAGAGATCCTGTTGAGATACAGCCACAGTCAATCTGACTTAGGCTCTCGATAACTCCTGCCTTCTGTCGTTTCATTCTCGGACGAGATGATTTCTGCGTACTCCCTTACTATCAGCAGGTGAAGTATTCACTTGAGCGTGCAGGACTTCGACCGCATCTGCACCTGGACATTCACTGGCCTGGCCTCAACCCGGATTCACTGATGAATCCATGGGCCTCCAGAACTCCTTGCCCAAAGCGATATATACCCAGCGATGCCCCAACCAACCCAGCCCTCCATCCCCATCTCATCCTCATCCTCAATCGCACCTTCATCCTCATCTTTATCCTCATCCTCAGTCCAATCCAAGACCACAAGCTCCCACCGTGACCTCGCTTACTGCAAAACTTGCGTCCAAAATGGCGTCCTTGAATACCACTCATACCACTACCAGCATCACCCACGAGCGCGAAGAACCCGCTACCATGTCCGAAATGTCCGCATCCATCGTGGCCGCCCCCGAGTATCCTCCTACCCCCCTCGCCGACCGCTTCAACGTCTACGTGACCATCATCCAGCCAACCCGGGCCTGTACCCCCAACCTGATGCTCATCTTCGACCAGCAGCCCGCCGCACGCCGGGGCACAACCGTTTGGTACATCAGACCCCAGCGCGCTGCCAGCGGATTGCCCATGGTCCCGTCCCGCTTTGAGATGGTCGGCGAACGGCTCAAAGAGAGCTCTCGAATCAACCCGAAGGTCTTTCTCGGCTCGTTCCCTCGTCAGGAACGCACCCTCGCGCAGGAATGGGCCCCTGTGATCGTGTCCCGCATTGTCGACGAGGGTTATCTTGTCACCGAGCACCCTGCTTGGGTTGCCCGGCAGGGTATCCAGCAGATTGCGTCGCAGCTGCAGCCTTTCTTCAACCCGCTTTGGCCTGGCAGACTGGCTGCTCTCGAACTTGATGGGTTTGAGATACCCAAGCGGGCTTGAACCATAGCTACCATTGTCCTCTGTACGCCTTGGAATGAGTGATTCATCCTACCTGGTCGGTGTTCCTGTGATGCTCGTCTTTTTCCCTTCTCCTTTGTCATGCCATTCCATTTCTTTCCTTCAGTCTACGCCATTGTTCTCTTCAGTCTACTCCATTGTTTCCTTCAGTCTACACCATTGTTCCCATCATGTCTACTTTATCTCCTTAAAGTCTACTCCATCTCCTTCATGTCTACCCCATTTCCCTGAAGTCATCCACGACCAGTCTACTCATACCTCCCACCAAGATCACTAGCCAATACATATTTCCAGTCTTTCAATTGGTCCCCTAATTGTACATGCACCTTCGTAGCCAAGACAGCGGGCATCAACCCTGTCCATAATCAACATTCATGAATACCATTACCATCGATCGTTCCGGGTTGGGGCACTTCTTGCTATCGGCCACAACAGTATACTTAGCTTGAACCATTTGCCCATGTAGCAGGAGGTCTCTACGGCCAATTTCTACTGATGTTTCCTGCATTTGAGAGAACGCTTACCGAAGTACTCGTAGCAATAGATGTAAGGACTGCACTGATCGATACTGAGTCTCTATTTCGCTCATCATTTCGGCATCTGCATGGTGGATGTGGACCAGAGCGTACCACTCAAAGTAAACAATTCGGCGCCGTTTCCAAGGTTCTCACGGATTGCGTCGATCCCTCCGACCGTGGCAAACCCGTTCAAGCTCCAGCTAGTCAGGGGTTGTGCCTGACCCGGTCACTGCAAGGACCCAGATGGCCCACATTCCATGCAAAGCTCGTTTTGATACGGCGAGAGCCAGCACGGCGTGGATTCCCCCCCACTAACGCCTCTGAGGCTATACCGGGCAAGGAAATTCTCTTCACGCTTCACGGCCCTAGTTTCACTTGCAGGCCGGATGACGAAATGAACCTGTAGATCACCCTGAAGGATTTTTATTTTAAGCTCCCTGGCCAACCTTGACTCTTCGTCTCTTGACGGCCAAGACAGTTCGAGATGGAAGACCCAAAGGATGGATACCGACTCTCGTACGTCCGACTTGACGACCCTCCAGAGCCCTCACCACCACCGCGCCAGCGCCCTCTCTCGTCGGCCGAACAGGTTTTCCTGCAGACTCAGACTCAGCCGTTCTGGGGGACTAGCTGGACCCTGGAGATCCTGGGGTGTATTATCTCGCTTATTTTCCTTGCGGCCATTATTGCGGTCCTGTATCACTACGATGGCCAGCCCATGCCCGACTGGCCGTATGGCATTACTCTCAACGCCCTGGTTTCGGTCTTCAGCACCGTCATGAAGGCGACCATGGCATTCATCCTGACCGAGTCTCTTGCCCAGCTGAAATGGTCGTGGTTCCGCGATGGGAACAAGCTGAGTGATCTTGCGCTCCTTGATGCCGCCAGTCGCGGGTTCATCGGTGCTTTCGTCGTGCTGTTTCGATTCCTGCCTCGGTGCGTGATCTCTAGTCTTCCTTGACCTCATACTGACTCCGCCCAGCCATCTCATTACGTTCGGCTGTCTCGTCCTGTGTATAGCAGCCGCTACAGATCCGTTCGTCCAGCAAGTCATCGGCACTCAAATGCGTTCGGTGCACGCCCCAGGCAACTCAACAGTCCAGGTTTGCAACGCCAGCATGTACACCGATTACGGCGAGGGCGCAGGCCCAGGACTCAACAAGGTGCCCCTGGGGACTGCCGGCGCAATCTATTCGGGCATCTACCAGACCCAGAGTCCGAACAGCAACGAGGTCCTCGCAAGCTGTCCAACGGGGAACTGCACGTTTGCGCCGTATCAGTCTCTTGGGTTCTGCAGTCGATGCGCCAACATCACGGACTCTCTCGAGGTTAACAAGACACAGCTTGGATCGCTGACGAACTACAACTACACCCTACCCAACGGATTCTATTTCACCACTGCCATGAACATGGTGTATCTCATGAACGCCACGACGGGACTAGACTTGATCAAGCCGCCTGACGCGGATCTCCCCATCATCCTGAACTTTACCGCCATCAGCTCACCGGGGTACGGGACAACCGGCATCAGCGCAACGGAATGCTCGCTCTATTTCTGCGTCGAGACGTACGAGGCTGCTGTCCGAGAGGGTTCCTTCTCCGAAAACCGCACTTCAGTCTCGGCTGCATCGAACATCACATCATATGGCACAGAGGACTTTGCCATCACGCCGGACGTCTGCTATGTCAATGGGACGCGCCGCGAGAAGCCGTATACGAACGATACAGAGGATTGTGTCTACGACGTTAGCTGGCTAAGTCGTCTGGCCATGGCCAATTCCCTCTACCCATTGCTCCAAGGCGAGGGCTCCCTCTTCGTGAGCAACCGGCCAAGCTGGGATACAGATACCCTCGAGGCTGTCTACGGCACGCAAGGGAACTTGACCGATATTGCTTCAATGTTCAAATCGCTCGCGTCCTCATTGACACTCCACGCGCGGTCGAAGGTGTGTGACGAAACTGCTATCGGGAGTACCTGGACAGAGCAGACATTCGTGCATGTACGCTGGCCATGGCTGATTCTGCCGGGCGCGTTAGTTCTCCTTAGTGGTGTCTTCCTGGCTATTACGATCCTGCACACGCGCAATCAGTATATCTGGAAGTCGTCGCCGTTGGCGTTGCTCTTCTCGGATCTTACTGTGGATGCGCCGTCACCACTCAAGGCGGATCCGACGCTGAAGGGGATGGAGGACACCTCGAGGAAGATGGAGGTCTGGCTGGAGACGTCGGCGGAGGGTGTACGGCTCAAGGCTGTTCCCAGGTAGACTGTATATTACTACTATTCCACCATGATATCCTAATATTACGAGATTTCCAACGTTTAGAGCTGTAAACATGTCCGACTCCATCGTCATTCCCTTGAAGGCCTGGCCTCGAAGCTTGTGCGTAGCAAGGAATGTATGTAAAGTCCTTCCTGGTGTTTAAAAAGCAAGTTCTGCGGGAAAGGCCGAGTCTTGTCCACCGACCAAAGCCACGGAGGCCTTCAGAGGGCTTATACGGCTTATCAACGTAATCAATCTGTGGGAGGAGGCCTTGGGTATGAGCGTAGCTTCAGGACGGCCAGGCCACTTGATGCAGAAAGACGGATTACCAGGTCATAACCCCGTAAAACAAACTCGACAGTGCATGCAGAAACTGGGCATGGCAATAAACAGTATCATCCAGACTGGGAGACAATGGCTTCTTGGGAGAACATGTCTTGCAATGCATTGGAGAATATAAGCCGACTAATCACACCGATCACCGGCTTGGCCGCGCAGAAACATATTGAGACGAGTTTCTAGTCTAGCGGCCATTGGTACCAATTCGATGCTGGAAGGAACACGGTGTGTTGGTGTATGATGGCTCGGTTGTTGCTATTATCTAGGGGATGCATGGAAGGCTGACGTTTGCGAGAGATAAGTTCAAGTCGTCCTTCCTGGGATCTTCAATAATCAAGGCCTTCAAGCCCTTGTCCACTTGCCATTAACCTTCACATAGCTGCCATTTGCTATACAGTCCGGGCTTGGGTCCCTGAGCGTTGTCTGGCCGAAGTAGCCCTTTTCCCTAATGATACCACAGCCGCCACAGCCATTGAGCTCCAGGACCAAGCCTGGGGTCTCAAGTACACGGCGGCAGCGATAGACGGTCTTGCTAAAAGTGTACTTGCACATGATGGCTTTGATCCTGCCAGACAATGCATGAAGCCAATTCCACGTGACCCCAGCCCCCTCGTGTTCACCCCTTGTTCCTTCGTCTAGGGTCTCTTTCCTCTTCGCCCCATCCTCTTCTGCCATCGCACTCAAGACCATGAGTATCCAGCGCCAATTTCCTGGTGTACATTGGGTCTGGAGAGGGGGCATGTCCTATGTCTACGAGGTCCATCCCCTCATCGTGGTCAAGGTTCCCCGACCCGGCGAAGACAAGAAAGACAGGTTTCGTGAAGAAGTCAAGATCTATGAACTATTATCCCGTCATCCGCCCTGCCCCTTCCTCGTACACTGCTTCCTCTACTCGGAAGACGGGATATTCCTAGAGTACATGAGAGGTGTGTCCGCAGTTGAAGCGCTGCAATCCATTCCCTAACCACCAGCATTTGCAGATATATCTCTCGCCTATTGCAAGCAATTTAACATGGTTCGAGACCCTGAGACTCGCGTAGTGACTAGTGTCAGATACATGGAGCCACTGCCACTACGGAAGAGGTGTAAGTGCTCCATTGCCAGCTGCTTCTACTAAATTGACATCCAGAGCAACAGGGATGAATGATCTTGCTCAAGGCGTCGCTTTCCTCGAGTCGCTCAACCTTGCGCATGGAGATCTGCGTGCCGAAAATATCTTGCTGGACCGTGATAGATTGAAGATTGCAGACTTCGACTACACTGCTGAGTTCGGAACGGATTTTGAAACCTGCCCGTGCCCATACGCAAGACTGCTGAATAGCGACGAGGCAGATCAAGGAGCGCCGGGGACAGCTGGTGTGCTAGGTCCTAGAACCGAGCAGTTCGCGCTTGGCTCATTGTACTACCTGATCAACTATGGCTTCGAGCTCTACGACGATCAGTGCCTGGCCGACGATCCTTACGATCATGGACCTCGGGTCGTCGACTTACTCCAGCAATTGAGCTTTCCAAAGCTGGAGGGTGATCCGATAATTGACGATATCATCGAAAGGTGCTGGCACAACCAGTACCGCACGATTGCGGACCTGGCCACGGATACAGAGGCATTACTCGAACAACACACAGACGAGGCACCAGATGCGGCAGGGGTCGTCCCCGGAAGGGATACAGCTCTGGCAAGAATAGTACGCTGGCTGTGGGACACTCTCGGCGCGGCGCAGTCGATTAACGGCCAAGCGAACGCCTCGGACGAATCCTTTTCCTCGAAACAAGAGTTCTGTCGAGACCTCGAGGAGCGTGGACTGCCTCGTCTTCTTGCTTCACGCGAGCCCATGGAGCTTGGGTTTCGAATGGAGCACAGGCATGTATCAGAACAAACTACGGCAAGCTAAGAGATGAGAGAATGCTCAATTGGACGGAAGCAGAGTTGTCGGTCTTGGAGCGTCTTCTGCTTCTGCTAGGGCTCTTTGCACAACTGCAAAGTCATACACCGGAATATCCTTGCGTGCGGTTTCTCTACGTTTGCGCCGTGAACTTGGGTGCACATCAATAGGCTCGAGCGGTCGGCTCAGTTCTACAGGAAAATGCAGACATGGGGACGATATTGCAGGAATAAATCCAACAGTCCAACACATCAGACAGATACGTATGGCATGTTGAGGCTCAGTCCTGCTCCTAACCCTCGTAGCTCTTGACGACATCTCGGTCTTTGCCCTTCCCATGGTTGCTTCGAGCCCACCCCCATCTCGCAATTGCACCAATAGAGTCCGAATCCCAGCTGGTATTAATCCGCATCAGAGCATTATCATTAGATAGAGTGTGTCCTGGTCAACACTGAGTAATAGTGGCCGTCCCCACAGCTCAGCCGCATTTGTCATCAGTTGGAGTCATCGTGAGATATAAATACGCTGTTATCTCTCCCTAGACGATGTGTGTTTCTTCTCTTCCATCATCTGCAACTCCCTTTGCACCAATGTCTGCTCCTCTGATCGTCCTCCCTCGCCCCGGCGAGACAGCAACTGCCAAACCAATTCCGGCCCCGTCCGAAGCAGCCTTCATCCAGACTTTCGGGCAGCTCTTGCCACCGGCCTCTTATCTGCACACGCCGAACGGCAGAGTCGCCTACTACCAGCTATCGCCATCCGCCAATGACGCTGCCACCAGCATTCGCCGGGTCCTGTTTGTCCACGGCGTCCAGACACCGGCAATCGGGTTGCAGCCGCTAGCAAAGGAACTGTCATCTCGGTTCCCATCCGCTCAATGTGTCCTTGTCGACCTCTGGGGCCACGGGCTTACAGATACGCCCTTTGCTCCTCATGAGCCGGCCCTCTTTCATAAACTCCTTGAGGCTCTGATGGCGCATCTGGACTGGCCCGATGCTCACTTGATTGGGTACTCGTTTGGTGGATCGACGACGGCCACCTTGGCAGCCGCTCGCCCTGGCCTTGTCTCGTCGATGGTCCTTGTTGCGCCAGCAGGGTTGCTGCGTGAGGCCCAGTTTAGCGAAACAGAAAGAATGTATTTGCGTGGTGGCAACGGACTGGAAGAGGCAGCAAAGGATTGGATTCTCGAGTTTCTCGAGGGAGGGCAGTTGGTTGTCCCATCGGACTGGAAGGAGAGAGTTGCACGAGGCGAAGTCGTTGCAGAGGCTGTTAGGGACTGGGAACTGAAGGAGCATCGGGGGCATTTGGCGAGCGTCGTGGCTGTCTTCAGGGATGGCGGAGCGCTGGACAGGCACGCGGACTTTGCTCGAGCCGCAGCGACTGGTATTCCAGCATTGGGTGTCCTCGGTGAGACGGATGAGGTTTGCAGTGTCCAGGATCTGCACGAAGTTGGGTTCAAGAATGTTGCTGTCATTCCACAAGTAGGGCATGGGGTAGCCAGGCAGAGGGTGTCGGAGGTTGCCCAGCTCATTGAAGGATTCTGGAAGGACTTGTAATTGCCGCCTACTCATGTATGCCTTTCCTGCTTTATACCATGCAGCGGTATGTACTTGAAGCTAGCAGTTATGTACGTGCTATCAATCCAGTCAGAATGCCCATTGTTGCAACTAATTGGTCACCATCTCCAGTGTAAGGGATGACAAGGATCGCATGGTCGCACTGGCCACTTTTGTATTTGTTGAATGGAGAGGCACAGAGAGACGCGGCGAGGCAGGTGCGCTTACAGATATGTTTGGCGTCTGCGTATCCCTGTTGGAGTGTCACATTGCAAGCATCAGATGGGACTACATGCACCTCGTCGAACGACTTGACGGAAATGTTAAACTTTATTCGCCAGGCATTGTGGATGATGATGTCCACGGACTGCAGCCTCCCCTCATATTTGGAGCCCTCAATGCCGAGGTGAGGTCTGCCCAGGGAGGTTTGGACGAGCTCGACTGTGTCAGGAGTGCTGGGATCTAATCCTCGCTCCTGGAGGACTTGTCGCTATCTATCTGGATTGCCAACGGAATGATCGGACCGCAGTGCGTCGAGCAGGTAGGTTCCAGCCTAGAATTTGGATATACATACCATCCATAGGTCCTGCCCTCATTCATCAACAGAGCTATGTGAGCCTTCCCTTGTTCATGGTGCGATTGTCTTTTACCTATCTCCGGGACAAAGGCACAAAGGGCTCCTTGTCTGCTATCCAAATACAAGCCATTGTCAGTTTGATGAACTGTAACTCTAGCAGTGAAGGAAACAAAGAGGTGAGAGCAATGAAGTGAATGGAATTGAGGAAATGCTGCCTCCCAAACATCTGCCCTTTCAACATATATACCTCTCGTTTCCCGCGGTCAAGTTCGTTCCATCAACGTCTCGCTTCGAAAACATTCTTCCTTCTCATCACTTTCGAACCGTACTTACAAAACGAGACTCTGTCAGCCATGGCTCCTTTCCGTCTCTTCGACCTCCCGCCGGAGCTTATTCTCGCAATTCTGGAAGCCAACGGCGAGCCACGCGACCTTGCGTCCTTCATCAGGACCTCTCGGCCTGCCTGGAATATCGGCCACCCGGTTCTCTATTCCGGAAGTTTGGAGGACAAAAAGGAAGTGTTCCGCTGGGCTGCCATTCATAACCAACCCGGACTAGTTCAATGGATCCAAGATGATATCCTGCCTGTCCTTGGGCAAGACGCCGCTTACAGGGATAGTTTGCTTGAACCGGCTTCCCAAAGTGGGTGCTGTTTGATTGTCATGCTTCTTCTTGACAATGGAGCTGAGCCCATTCTATCTCAGAAGGCTGTCGCTGCAGACCAGGTTGAAGTTATTCAACTCATGCTTGCAAGGGGCGCTAACGTTGAACAATTTCCTCCACATTATCATCACGGACACCAGGTGAATTTAGGAAAGAATACCATTCTACACTACGCAGCACTGTGCGGGGCGGCGAGGATAGTAAACTCTCTCCTATCTTCGAATACTGTCGCTGGCCTTGACGTGAACAGCACTGACTTTAATGGAAACACACCACTAATCAAGGCCTCGCACCATAACCACCCCAACACCGTGGCTGCACTCCTAGCACACAATGCTGACCCTCACATCGTCAACTCGCCACGGCACGAAAGTGAGTGGAGTATTGCGTTCAACCCGATGACCCCATTGCCGTTTACCGCATTCGATGCCGCGGTTCTGAACCACAGCCCTGCCGTCATCAAGCAGCTGCTTGACGCCGGAGTCAACGTGAATGGCACGCAGATTGTGAGTTCGCTTGCCAAAGCCATAACTAAATACCGTGATAATTGGCCTTTGCCACATCGTCGAGAGCAAGCTACCAAGTCCTTCCACTCAACCGTCCGCTTGTTGCTGGATCGCGGAGCAAGCATCCACCCGAGCGGTGCTAACAAAATCGCTACCCTCCACTTCGCTGCTGAAATCGATGATATGAAAGTTCTTCAGTGGATTTTGGAGCATCCAGACTGTGACGTGAACCAGAAAGATCTTCGTGGAGGCGTGGGCCTGACGCCTCTGTGTTATGCGACGAGGTCCCCCAATGCTTGTAGGGCCCTGATCGATGCGGGCGCCTCGGTCGAGGCTGACGGGAACCTGCCACTCATTCTGGCCACCGTCCGTGATCATACCGAGGCTGTGAAGATCTTGATCAAAGCTCGGCCGAAAGACCTTGACCGGACCAACAACCTAGGCCAAACTGCTGTGGCAGTGGCTGCAATACGTGGCCGCAGCGAGATTCTGGAGATGCTGATCAAGGCAGGCGCTGATCTCAACAAGCCCGACTGCGTTGGAGAAGCACCGCTTGGGCATGCCCATAAGAACAAGAACGGTGTCTGTACCCTGCTGCGTCAGGCTGGTGCTCGACAAGGCATGCCCTCTGGCGCGTATCCCAAGCACCTTCGAGCCCTCTGGGATGAAATCAATTACTAGGCACCCCAGTCCATTTGATGGATATTGAAAACAATTGCCGATATGCCAATGCGCACTGGCGTCCGCTCGTTATCAGCCGTCAAGGGTCTGCTAAGCCTTTCTTACTTTCACATGTCCAAGAGCACCCATGTGTATGCATTGTTTTTAGATTACAGCCTCAACTCGAGAATAAATCATAGCTTGATTTCTTTCCACTCGCCCCGTAACTCCATTGGCTGTTCTTTGCCATTCGTTTTAGTAAACGCTCAAAGGCTCACCTACCTAACACCCAACCGGAAAGCTAACTTCCCAAGTCATATCCATATTTCTTCTCCTATCTTGACCATTGTGAAACACTGACTAAACAAAAATAAACTGCCCTGCAATCGCCCCAACAACAACCAAAAGGATAGGAGTATACTTGTTGGTGAATTTATAAAGCGCCGCCAACCCAAGGATATAAAGCACTGCAGCGGGCGCACTCTCGCTGAGCAAAGAGATAGCTCCTCCCAAATCCCCCTTTTCAACCACTGCTGTCCCCTGGACGCTGGACTTCAATGTTTGCACTGCTATAATAGCAATTACTCCGATGACAGCTCCACACAGTCCGTCGAAAAAGTTTGAAAGTAGCTGGTTATTTCGATCTTCTGGTTAGTATCCATAACGCACATCATATATGCCACGGTAGATAGCCACCTACCTTATTCCTAACCAACTTCTCCAACAATTCATGGCCCGCAATTGTGAAAATGAAACACGGAGCAAACATCCCTAGTGTGATGATCACAGCGCCAGCAAAGGCGTTACCAAGCCCATCCTTCAACCCGCCGTGGAAACCAACAAAAGTTGCAAAGATAACCAATGGCGCCGGGAGGACATTGCCAATGGCTATGCAATCGAGGAAAACATGTGCGGGTAGCCATCCGCCCTTCAACACTGCTTCGACCTGGATAAAGGGAATGGCGGTATACGCGCCTCCGAAGGAGAGGGTGCCAGCAACAAGGCCCAGGACGAGCAGATTGGGCAGACTGGGGGTTTTGGCAATGCCGAGTGCGAGGGAGACGGGGGATGGGACGCCACGGAACACGACGTAGACCGCATAGGCAACATATTGGAGGACGAAGAGGATCCCAGAGATGATCCATTTCCGCCGAGCGATGAAGGAGTAGATGATTCCATACAGGCCGAGGGATATGAAACTGGAACAACTCTGTTAGCACGCTAGACGTCTGGAACACAGTGATATTTTCAGTGATTTCAGTACATATTGATGCGAAGTGCGCTGTTGAGAGCGGTGCAAAGGCCGGCAATGACTAGCCAGTGGTTTACTTTGTGTGTGGCATGATTGATGACGCAGTGGTCGGCGATTTTGTGAGTGGCTCGGAGAATCTTCGAGATGCATCAGTTGGGTTTTGTTGTCCGTTGCTTTGGCTTGTGGCGGATGAGAACATACCATGGCAGAAACGATAGGTTGAACAGCTCTAAAAGAAGCGTTGAAGTACTTGTTCTCAAACCCCGCCAATGAATACAGGTAAGAGGCCAGCAGCATGAGGATAAACCCAGGCAGGATGAACGCAATGCCAGCAACAATCCCACCAATTCGACCGGCCGATAAACAACCAAAGACCATGCAAAGTTCCGCGGCTTCAGGTCCCGGAAGGATCTGGTAGACAGAGAAGACTCGCTGGAATCTGGGTAATGTGATCCATTTATCCTGAATCACCAGTTTGTCCTTGATCAGGGCTATCTGAGCCACAGGCCCACCCCAGGCAAAGAGACCGAAGTTGTAGAAGAAAAACCAGAACAGCTTGATCAACGACATTTGTGGTACGTTGCTGTTATCCTGAAAGCTATCGATGCCATCTTGTTCGGTCTCTGGCCTGTCTTGGACTGGTGATGGCGGTCCTTGAGCTTCCACGTCCGGTACCTGGCCAGATTTCGACGCTTGCGACGAGTCTGGGGTCATAATGGTGGTTGGCTAGGAAGGATCGGCAGGTATGGATGGATACAAATGGTTGATGGTGGATAATGTCGGGTTTGAAGACTCTTTTAAAGCGACAGTTCTCGAACTGCTTTCGCCAACTATTTATCTCACCTCATATTCTGCCCGTGAGGAACGACGGAAACGGCTGCGATAATGAGCCGAGGAGGCTTCTTTGTGCCACACAGAGGCCTGACCAATCATTCCAGATGTGTCTGTCGACCCTCTTTGTCTTCTTCTCCCCGCAGAGGAATCGGTGTGAAATCTCAACTTGACTCAACGCAACCCGAGACTGATCCTCCACCATTTCCAAGCTCCCACATTTCACGATGCCGCCTGACAAGGTAGGAATTTATAATTGCCTGGTTAGATACTTCAGGTTACTGCAATCTCACAGAAACACAGGAAGAAGCACGAATGGTTCGTCTACGGGAGAACAAGCGTCGGTCCAGGCAACGCCAGCGCCAATATACGGTTGACTTGGAGAAGAAAGTGAGAGAGTATGAGCAGAGAGGTATTCAAGCTACGGTCGAAGTTCAAGCAGCCGCCAGACTCGTCGCCCAGGAGAATCACCATTTACGAGCCTTGTTGGGTCAGCTTCGCGTGAGTGAACAAGAGATCACTAGGTGGCTGAAAACAAGGGCGGAATGTGAGGAAAGAAAACATTCGACGCCACTGGGAGGCCTAGACAAATGCGACAACCGGTTTCAGGGAGCCAGGCACGATGAGGGACCTCTTCGTAGTGCAGATCGTGCTAGTAAAGATGTGCATGTCTCTTCAAGCGAGACAATCAGACTACCACTAGGTAACTTTGCACCTCAAGAGGGCATCCAGGATAAAGGAAACGGAAGCCATGTTGTCAACGCGCTACCAGTCGCAACTCATGAACCGCAGCGGCAGGACAATGCTCCTCCTTGTAAACTCCTCTCCAGCCTGACAATCGATTCCGCCGGTGAAGAGGTGGATATCCTTGGAACGGTCGATGACAACCTGGCCCAGTCTCCCACTCAGGATGGACTTCCATGTGCTGCGGCGTATCAACTACTAAGGCAACATGTGAGAGGGGAAGAGGATGTCAAATGTCTTGGACAGGTTCTCCGCGAAGGCTGCGTTACCAGACCAAACGGTGGATGTGAGGTCAAACATGAGACAATTGCAAAGGCGCTGGTTGATATTTGTCTCTGAGATCGTGTTTAGTTCTGCATGATAAAGAGGTGGACTACGGCTGGGAAGAATCCAGAGCGACATGTTTATGTAGGAGGGCTTGTGAGGTTGTAGGTGGATGCTTGAATGCGGTGCATGTTTCCTATGAGCTTCCAATGATGATAAAAAGTGATCCATTGACCATTCCTAGGGCGCCCTGGCGTTTTTCTTCACGTAAATGGCCATTGTAGTGAAGTTGTCCCCGTCATCCTCCGGCCATGCTAGTTTGTCGTACTCGGCCCGAATCATTTCAATAACGCGTGGAGAGTCGGGGTCAGTCCTAGAGACATGTCAGCTAATATCCAACCTCGGAGGCGTGCCCTGGGCGGGCAAAGAACAAAGTACAAATTGGTTGTCGGTTCGTCTGCCACAGCACACCAGATTATAATAGGTGGTCGCGCCATATCCGCCACAATTTCCTTGACGCAGATGTTGGGACTGCAAGAGAAGAGCAACGACGCGTTGTCAAGGTGGAGGAAGCCGTCTGGATCCTCCACGACCTCGACGCCGGACTGCTGTAGAACAGCCAGGTCTGCTGCGTCGTACGCGGGATCCTGCGCATAGCATTGGACATTGTCGCCTCCTAGGTGACTCTCCTGGAGTGCGTTTTTCAGAGATACAATAAACGCATTCTGGACTGCTGAGCGGCGCCGTGAGCGTTCCCATTCAGTGTGTTTGAATTTCGAGGTCGCTGCGAAGGGCCCGCTGGCCATGCCAATAATCTTGTTGATCTGAACACGCAGTTTCAGCGACAGCAAGGTCGTCTTGATTTCCCTCCATGCATCACCAGCCTCCCATTCGCGCATGGCAGTATTAAAAGCATCCACCCCGGCATTGATATCCTGCACATTTTGTGGGTCTGGTTGTTCATCAGCCGGCAGCAGGAGATGCGCAAGGCCAACGGGAAAGTATGCGCGGGAGAGACTGTGCTCGGTGTTTCGCTTGAGGGAGTCAAACGAAGTATAGTATATTTGGGGAGCGCCAAAGAAGCCCAACGGCATTTTCATTTCCCCTGTCTGCACCACATATTCATACGTTAACTCATCAAGTGCTTTCACATAGACGAGATCTCCCTTGGACGGCGGTTTCCGCAGCTGGTCGCGTATGCTTACAAGGGTCTCGCGCGGGAATAGAAGCCGTCCAGCGCGGTACCACTCTTCGATATTGGCCTTTGCCTTGGTGTCAGACTCGGGCTTCCACTCGTCGGCATCTACACCGTCTCTCTGGGGCCGGGTAAGGTAGTAGTGCATTTTGAGAATCGGAGTCGAAGGTGGTGGGTTCTCAGAAGGGATGCGGGGTCGTGTTTTTTTACTGTACCTACTTAAGCAAACACCTTGGCACAATGACTCATCCTTGAGCGAATAGAACATCAGTACCTATGCCGCATTGCCAGTCTAATGTCTTTTGCTTGGCCTAGAGATGTATTTGGCGCGGATTTAGGCGGGCCCAGGCCCAAGGACAAGCTGCACTGCACAGCATTTATGTCTCAATCTTTAGATTAAATGATTTATATCCACTTTGAATTCATATAGGTACTGTAAGGGCGCCCTAGCACCCAGATGTTCTCTACTAATAATAATAATTCTTAGTAAAGTATTTTTTAACTAATAAGAATAAAGTATTTAAAACCTTATTAAATTTAACTAAAAAAATTACTTAAAAAACTATATATATTATAGCCTTTAACTTTTTTATATAGGCCTTACCTAAAAGCCTTAAGATTTTAAGCTATTTTTAAGCTATTTTTATTTAAAAAGTAAGTAATATTTAAATATTTTTATATTTATACCTTTTATAATTACTTTTTAATTTTTAAGGTAATTTAGTATAAGGCGCGCCTTTAGTTTACCTTTTAAATAGTACCTAAATTTTAAGGTTCCTAAGCTAAAATCCCTAGTTATATATAAATAATTAAGTATTTAAGTTATTACTAAATTAACCTTCATATAATAATTCATAGTGATAGAATTTACGATATTAAATAAATATTTTAAGTATCTAGCTGAGGTAAGATTAATTTTTTATCATAATATAACCTAGGTACCTTAAATATAATATAATAGTATAATCTAAATTAATATTAGCTTCAATAATTTCTTTTTTTTAAAAAAAAAAATTATCCATAATTTAGCGCTAAGCTATTTTAGATAAATAATAAATTAATAATTTATAATACTCACTTATTATTATATAGTAATAAAATATAATTTTTTATTATTATTGTTTTTATTACTTATTATGATTTATTTAAGACCTTAAATGTCAGGGCCGATATTAATCCGAGTCACGCCATTAAGCAATGCCTAAGGCACCTGGGTCACGCCATTATAAAGTATTAATATTACCCGTGCTAGATGCCTAAGGCACTTATTTTGTTGTTGATAGATGGTTTAAAGGAAGATTCATAATATTATTAATAATTATTAAGGTAGGCTAAGTACGTTGGAATAATAATAGGATTAAAGGTAATAATTAATAATAATATAAGTATTACTAGCTATTAATAAGTCCCCCTTATAAAAAAGGACGCTCTTATTTATAAAATAAAGTGCATTTATCATTATAGTAATAAAAGTAAAAAATATAAAAAAAAATAAGTAACTAAATACCTAATAATAAAAAAAAGTGTGCCTAACAGGCGGGAGATTAAAAATAAAAAATATAAAAATATAAAAACTAAGCTAAACTAGCAAAAAGTATTAAGTATATTTTAATTTTTTAAATATTAAATATAGCGTGTTTATAAATACCTTGATAACCTAATTATTTATTTAGCATGCTATATTTATATTAATTAAATATTTTTATATTTTTAAAAAAGCCCTTACTACCTTATAAATAATAGGGTATTTTTACTTTAAGGTATTTATAACTACTTTATTATTAATTAATAATAGGTTAATATTAAGCTAAAACGCATTTTCCCGTGCAGGAAAAGCATTTTTAAAAAGCTAAAATTTATAATTAACTAGGAATAAAGCAGCGCGAGAGTAGTTTTAAGTAATAAAGTTTTTAAAGTATTTTTAGTTTATAGGCTAGCAAAAGCA